GAGCTTATGGATTGTATGCTGCAACCTCTGAGGAACCCCAGCAAACCCCGGACCAAGGAGCTAGCCGTGAGCGCCATCGGGGCCATTGGTGAGCAAAAGGACCAAGGAGGCAAAGGTGTAACTCCACCCAGAGTCTATGTTAGGCACTGTCCACTCCCTGCCACCCGATTCTGTTCTGTCCTGCAGCCACAGCTGCCCAAGACTCCTTGCTGCCCTACTTCCCCACCATCATGGAGCATATCCGGGAATTTCTGTTGACGGGCCACGAAGACCATCAGCTTGTGCAGATCCAGAGCCTGGGTGAGTGAGACTTCTACACAGGGCTCCGTCCCAAAAAGGCCAGCGTTTACCTCATCTCTCCCAGAGCAGTTGGGTGTCTCCCTTTGATGAGAAGGTGTTCTCCCTGTTGTACCCAAGAGTAGGGTAGAATTCTGGATGCCTTCTGCTTGCTGCTCTTGTGTCTTCCTCTGCTCTCAGTGCTGGCTGAGCTCTTGCTCCCACAGAGACCCTGGGAGTGCTGGCCCGAGCTCTGGGAGAAGCCATGAAGCCCCTGGCTGAGGAATGCTGTCAGCTAGGGCTGGGGTTATGCAGCCATATAGATGACCCTGACTTGCGGCGCTGCACGTGAGTGGCCCTTCATGCTGCGCCTGCCTCTCCCACCCACCCAGCAGATTGACAGTCCCCATCCAGATACCTTTGGTTTGGGACACAGCCAAGTTTTCTGGACTCTCCCATTTTGTCTGTTTATAGCAGGCAGCATCATACAGATTCTCTCTGCCTTTATCAGGTACAGCCTGTTTGCAGCCTTATCAGGGTTAATGGGAGAGAACCTGGGACCCTACCTGTCTCAAATTACCACGCTCATGCTGTTGTCACTGCGTTCCACCGAGGGCATTGTGGTAAGCAGAGGGTTGGGTGTACTGGGCCAGTTAGGCCAGGCTAGCCCTGTGATGTGATTTATGTCCTGGACCCACCTGAGCCAAAGTTCCCAATCTGCTTTCTTCATCTAGCCCCAGTATGATGGCATCAACTCCTTCCTTCTATTTGACGATGACAGCGAAGCAGAAGAGGAGGAGGATCTCATGGATGAGGATATGGAAGAGGAAGAGGAGGAGGAAGAGGACTCTGAGATCTCGGGGTAGGAAGAGTGGTCCTAACCTTAAGAATGTCGATTCTGAGCCAGAGGGGATTGCTCACTCCTTTAGTCCCAGTGCTAGGGAGGCCAGAGGCAGTTATGGATCTCTGAATTTGAGGCCAGCCTAATTTACATAGCGAGTTCCAGGCCAGCCAGAGCTACACAGAGAAACCCTGTCTCGGAAAACAAAACAAAACTATGTAGACTTGATTCAGGACCCAGCCCCAGTGCTGGCTCTGTACCTGCTGGCACCCATCTTTCCTGCCTCCCACCGTTCCTAGGTACAGTGTGGAGAATGCCTTCTTTGATGAGAAAGAAGATACTTGCACTGCCCTGGGGGAGATCTCTTTGAACACCAGGTGAGCACCAGCCCTTCCATGGTGCTGGGAACCACACCCAGGATCTCTTTCCCCACTGCTGTGTATCTCTCCGTAGTGTGGCCTTCCTTCCATACATGGATTCTGTCTTTGATGAAGTGTTCAAACTGCTGGAGGTAAGTTAGTGAGTGGGGTCCTTAAGCTCCAGTCAGGATTGCCTTCACCTTGCACATGCCAGGCATTTGCCTGCCCTCTTGGTTCCAGTGTCCTCATCTGAATGTGCGGAAAGCAGCTCATGAAGCTCTGGGACAGTTCTGCTGTGCGCTGCATCAGGCCTGTCAGAGAAGCCCTTCAGAACCCAACAATGCTGGTGAGAAGGAGATGCTAGCAGGCTGGGAGCCCTGGGGAGTGGCAGGGCCTGACCAAGGCTCCCGCCAATTGTGTCTCCAGCTCTGCAGCGTTCCTTGGCTCGATTGCTACCGTCTTACATACAGGCTGTGAAAACAGAAAGGGAACGGCCAGTGGTGATGGCAGTGCTGGAGGCCCTGACGAAGGTGCTGTGCACCTGTGGGGCTCTTGCGCTGCAGCCACCTGGGCGCCTCAGCGAGCTCTGCGCCATGCTCAAGACTGTGCTGCAGAAGAAGGTGAGTGGGAAGGGAGTGCCATGGGAAGAGGTGTCAGGCCCAGAAGAGTGGATTGTCAGAGGAGTTAACCTGGCTCTGCCCACTCTCCTTCCACTTCCACTGCGGAAGGAGAAGGCAGGAAGGCCCACACTCAGCCAGACTACATCTTCCACAGACAGCCTGTCAGAACTCTGAGGAGGATGATGATGATGATGACGACGACGAACAGGTGAGAGCTGCAGATGAAAGGGGGCAAGACAGTCTGGGTAGTCCCACAGGGCCAGCAGTGGACAGTGCACTCAGCTTAGCCTGCAGGAGCCAGGGCTGCTAGAAGAATTTGGTAATTGCCAACATGGCGCCACCCTCATCCCAGTAAGTCAGTCAAGAGTTCAGAGGAGAATGGCATGCACTGGGACAGGACTGGGCGTGAGTGGAGGGCCTAGGCTGTAAGAAAGCCGTTGCGGACACCAGTCAGTCCTTGAAGCAAGGGCAGCCTCAGAACCTGCACCAGTGACGTAGCAGGGCTGGAGATGAAGTCATAGAGCTGTCCAGTACTCTAGCCCCTCCCCTGGCTCCACAGGCAGAGTATGATGCCATGTTACTCGAGCATGCTGGAGAGGCCATCCCTGCCCTGGCAGCTGCAGCTGGAGGACATGCCTTTGCTCCGTTCTTTGCCAATTTCTTGCCGTTGTTACTGTGTAAGACGGTGAGTGCTCTGCCCTGTAGCCTGACATTGTAGTCCACCTGTGCCTGCACCCTCCCCACCCTATCTCCATGCCAATTTGTATTCCTTCCACCTCCCCTATAGAAACAGAGCTGTACAGTGGCAGAGAAGTCCTTTGCAGTAGGAACACTGGCAGAGTCCATACAGGGTCTGGGTTCTGCCTCAGCCCAGTTTGTGTCTCGGCTATTCCCTGTGCTGTTAAATACTTCCCGGGAAGCAGACCCTGAGGTGCGGAGCAATGCTATCTTTGGGCTGGGCTTACTGGCAGAGCATGGGGGCTGCCCTGCTCAGGAGTATCCTATGCTTCCAGGAGGGAAAGGTGGGGTGGGGAGTGAGCCCAGGGATCGGGTGAGGTGCTGCTGCAGGGTGAAGTCTGCGCACGTGTGTGTGTATTCCTTAACTGTGGACCAGTCACTTCCCTAAGCTCCTGGGCCTCCTTTTGCCCCTGCTGGCAAGGGAGCGACATGATCGAGTCCGTGATAATATCTGTGGGGCGCTTGCCCGTCTGCTGATGGCCAGTCCAGCAAGAAAGGCTGAGCCCCAGGTAAAGGAAGGGGCATTGGGCCAGGGTGGAGGCCAAGGATGGTGGAGCAGACAGGACATGTGCCTGAGACATCTGTGTATCCAGGTGCTGGCTACCCTGCTACATGCCCTGCCACTGAAGGAAGACATGGAGGAGTGGATCACGATAGGTCGTCTCTTCAGCTTCCTGCACCAGAACAGCCCTGAGCAGGTAACCCTGCTACTGGAGCTCTCACGAGGCGGTTGTAGGCTCCAGTCTAACGGACAGGCAGAGGAGATGCCTTGTAACTGATGCATGGTGAATTTCAGGTGCTCTTAGACGCTATGTAAGCTATGTAAGCCCTGGCTGGCCTGGAACTCATTCTGTAGGCTGGCCTCAAACTCCCAGAGATCCGCCTCCCTCTGCCTCCCTGAGTGCTGGGATCACAGGCGTGTGCCACACCCAGCTGACACTCTTTACTCTTGTGTTTTCATCTTCTCTTGAGACAGGGTCTTCTGCACCCCTGACTGGCCCCAGCTTGTTACATAGCTAAGGATGGCCTCCTGCCGCCATCCTCTACCTCCCAAGTGTGGGCATTACAGGCATGCACTACTTTACCTAGTTTTAGCTGTGTGTGTTGGGGAGGATTTGGATGCTGGCTTTCACTTAGTCTTGAAGCTATGACTGTAATCTTTGATCATGCATCTTAACCTCTAAAAAGAGCTTGTCACCATGTTTCCTTATTCCTTCTTGAGTTCACAGTAGTGTTGGGTCTCAGCTCAAACAACCTCATAGGCTGCTGCTTCTCTCCCTGGTTTCATCCACCGACTGTAAGCCCTGGGCCCCAAGGCTGTTATTGCCGATACTGCTGTTCTGTCCTTTTCTGTAGGTTGTTGATGTGGCTCCGGAGCTCCTGCGCATCTGCAGCCTGATTCTGGCAGACAACAGGATCCCGCCAGGTGAGGGTGACAGTCATAGCTAAGGGCAAGGGGAAATGGAGGCAGCAGGGCTCAAAGAGCTTGGGGCAATATGGGTGTAGGTACTCAGTCCTTCATCTCCCTCTCTCCACTCTACCCAGACACCAAGGCGGCACTGCTGCTGCTCCTGACGTTCCTGGCCAAACAGCACACCGACAGCTTCCATGCAGCCCTGGGCTCGCTGCCTGCTGATAAAGCTCAGGAACTTCAGTCCATGATGGGCCTCACTTAGACTATAGGCCACAGCTGGGCCAGAGGGCCCAAAGAGTACCAGTCAGTCCAGGTACAGCTGCCCTTACCAAAGACTCTGTCCACTGGAAATCAACCATGCTTGCTGTCTTAACAGGGGTGTCTCTGGGGCTGGATCTGTTACAAGCAGAGCTGTGACATCATACTGTAATAAAGGCAGCTTGTTTTCTGCTTGGACACTAGCTCTGAGAGCATGAAGGCTAGAGGTATGCGTTCAGAAACAAGGTGGGCAAGGGGCTGGAGGGACACAGCGCTGAAGAGGGCATACTGTTCCTGCAGAAGACGCAAGTTTAGTTCTAGCACCCACACTGGACGGCTCAAAACTGCCTTGAACTCCAGCTCCAAAGGGTTTCATTCCCTCTTCCGGCCTTCCCAGGCCACTGCACTTCCTTGCACATTCTGGCACAGACACATACACACAAAATTTAAAATTAAAAATCTTAAAAAAAAAAAAAAAAAAAAAGACAGGCAAAGTCCAGTGATACAGGATTTGGTGTAATGAACTTGCTCAGTGGAATTTGGGTCCAGGGTGAATCAGGAGACGCCCATATGGCTTCTCTTGTTTCACAAGAAGGATCTTCTGTGTGGACAGCACTGGTCAGAAAAAAAGGCAGGTCACAGTCACTATAGTGTGCTATAGCAGCCTCTGGCCTGTCTTCCCCCTCTTTCTTGTACCCACACTCACCCAAGAGCAAATAGAAGACCCGAGAAGCCAACTTCCGGGGGCTGAGAGGGGGCACCAGGCTGTCAAAGTCAGTCTCTCTATTGGCCTGTAGCTCCAGTGCTATTGCCCTGCAGGGACAGAAGGCCATCAGCTCGGGTAACAGCCCAGTCCTACTTGTGGAGGGACTCCTCCCTGGTACCTTAGCACAGCCTCTGAAGAGAGGAGTTCAGGCACTGGGGGCATCTCCATGGGCACTTCGGGGAGTTCAGGCAGCATGGGCAGTGCAGGGGCCTCTGGCTGCCCTTCCTCCATCCAGGCCCTAGGAGACCAAAGGAGTCATGCAGTGACCACAGGCAGGACCACTATGGGTTTGAGTCTGCACCGCTTAGATACCTACCACCGTTCCTCTGGGGGGATGAGGCTAATGAGAGACTTTTCCTCTTCAGCTGCTTCTAGGGAGAGCTCTGTTGAAGGAGAGAGCTCTCAGGGAGTCTGCTTGGCTCTTAAGGAATTGGGACCTTGTAGCCAAGCTGGGGGACTCGGGGCAGGGGGTGGGGTAGTTCAGTGGTGAGACATTTGCCTGACAAGTACAAGGCCTTAGGTTCAATCCCCAGGCCTACAAAGCTCCCACCTCACAGTCTGGAGCTTAGTATAGACTTGAGCAAAGTGGAGTGGGAGCATGGAGAATCAAATCTGTGATTCCTTATTGTTCTGCAAGCTCCCTGTTAGAAGCAGCCTCAGTATCTGGGGTGCTAAGCTTCCTGAGACTAGATAGAAAAATGGTCTTCATCCTCCTGCCTTGTGTAAGCACTTACCTGAAGAGAGCATAAGGGGACCACTGGGCTCCTGGGCTTCCCTCAGAACCTGCAGGAGGGAGAGCAAGAACAGACCTAAGCACCTCAGTGTCAGGGTCTCCATCTGGTGAGGAGACAGTCTGCTAGAGCTCACCAGGGCTGAGGGGCTCACAGGGTGCCCCGGAGGTGGTTACCTCAATCTCACTCAGAGCTTCAGTCCTTCTTCTTTCCTCAGACACCTCTTCCATCTCTGGCTGTGGTCTTTGTCTGAGCATTCTTGGAGGCACCTGGGCACAGCGGGTCCATAAAGCTAGTAGTTCTGGGGATAACCAGCCAGCTGACAATGGAAAAGGTTTAATCATAAGTCCGAGGATTCCAGATTCTGAAGGTCCCCCTGCCCTGATTTCCACCATCCTTACAGAGAGTTGGAGTTTGGAAGAGCTCTGCTGGGCTTCTGGTCATCCTCTTGGGAAGCTGGATCACCGGCTGCAAGATGGTGAAAGGCCAGTGCTCCTTTATGAGAGCCATTTCTTACTGCCTCTCCTCTGCAGCACATTGTTCTCAGGGCCTGTTTCCAGGCTCATGGCCTGGCCTAAAGTGCTTGTGGCAAAAAGGGTAGATCATAACCCGGTGTTTGTGTATATGTTGGGTACGTGTATCCCACACACGTGCACCTTCTAGGAAATGGGGCCTTTTGTCAGATTCCCAGTGTTCCTCAGAGTTCAGAAGTCCAGTCAGACCTGCGTCCCTCTTCTCCCCTAGGGAGCACCTGAGCTGCACTCACATACTCCCAGCAGTGAGCCCTGGTCTGCAGTTGTTGCTCAAATTTCTCCCGGGAGATCTGAGTCTCTTTGTCCCAGAATAGTAACTGGCGACGGCGTCGGCGTCGGCGGCCAGGTGGGCTCCGAGGAGATGGGGGCCTCTTCTGAAGTAGGAGGGGAGGCAACAGTCGGGCTGAACATCTCCCCCTTTCCAGTGTACTATTTCCCAGTGCTCCCACTTTATTCAAATCTGTACTGGGCTCCAGAACAGGAGTAGGGGAGCTCTGTAGTCCTGGGAAGCCAACCCAAGGCCTGTGCATGTCAGGCCCCACACTGCCCGGTCAGCTGTCTGGGAAGGCAGCTTTGGTAAGGTGCAATTCATGGCATACAGGAAGGTACCTCCTGGAAAGTGAGGCCACACCATGAGGTCTGGAAAGGGGCATCACTGTAAGCTAGCAATGGCCCAGGGCTTAAGGATGTAGGAGGGAAGAACCTACTCACCTCTGCACTGGGTGGGGCAGGCAAGTGCAGCTCCTCAGGGGGAGTCACCTCTGTAACAATACCCATTAGACCCCTCGCTGTTTTTTGCCTTTTTTTTTTTTTTTAAAGACAAGGTCTGGGGTAACCCAAGCTGGCTTCAAAGTTCTGGCAATCCTGCCCCAAGCCCAGCTTTGGAGTGACTGAGCTACAGATATGCTCTCCACACCTGACTAGCCCCTTCACTCTTACAGTCACCAGCACAAGAAGCTATCCAGTGTCTCTCAAAAGGTGGGGGTAAAAGCTTTTGTCTCTGCAACTGTGCAAGTGTTCCCAAGGAAGCACCCAGTGATGGACACTTACCAGTGAGTAGGGCCCCAGGCTCCAGGCCTGTCAACTTCAGTACTTCAGGGGTGAAGACCTGGCTTGGAAGTGGTTCTCTTATCCCTTCAACCCTGGGCGGAAGCAGGCAGAGTAGGAAACCCTCCCCAGCAATGACCCCTTACCCCCTTACCCGGTACAGGATCCCTGCCCTTACTGTGCAGGAGCTGGAGGCGAGAGTGAGGGGACCATACCATCACCTTCCAGGGCCCGGGGTTCTTCCTTGGATTCTGGAGAGAGAGAGAGAGAATCAGAACACTCAGTAGACAGAAGTATGGGGCACTGTCCATACCCAGGTTGGCTGTGCTGGAATCTGACCATCCAGTGCTGGGGAAGCTCTCCGGCGCCGGAGGAGCCTGCCTCTCTGACGTTCCTCTAACAATATGGCATCATCTTCCTCTGCGATCAACAGGTCCAAGTCCCCTCGGCTGATCTCCGGGAGATCCTGCTCCCCCTATATAGAGAGAAAACAAGTGGATTTTTGAGGCTGAGCGCAGAGAAGCCCTGTGGGTCTAAAGGAACAGTGTGGGGAAATAGAGACAGAAGGCAGAACCACAGGGATGTGTTGGGGCCTGACTAGAACCCTGTGTTTAAGGGGAAACTCACCTCAATGCGCAGCATGCGAATGGGCTCTGCTTCCTGTAGCGTGATGACCTCAGGATACTGTACTGTGGCTAAGGTCCTGTCTGGAAGAGCAGGGGAGTCACACCAACCCTACTACTTCTTCCCAAGTTGTTGGGACAGAAACATGGACTTTGAAGACTGAGGGCCAGACACAGGCTAGTTACCAGCTAATAATTCCAAGCGCATCTCTCTTTGTTTAGCTATCTGTCTGTTTGGTTTTTTGAGACAAGGTCTCACTGTGTAGCAGGCTGGCCCTGAACTAAGATCTACCTGCCTCTGCCACTGAGATTAAAAAGGTATGTAACTATCACACTTGGAAGCCTCCAAGTTCATTTCTTTACCGTTGTGAGCCTCGCTTTCCTTATCCTTTAAATGGAAATAGTAATTCTGACCTCATTTGAACTCTTTTTGAGAATTTAATTGTGGGGCCTGAGAGATGGCTCAGAGGTTAAGAGTGCTGGCTGTGCTTCCAAAGGTCCTGAGTTCTATCCCCAGCAACCACATGGTGGCTCACAACCGTCTATAATTAGATCTGGTGCCCTCTTCTGGCCTGCAGGCACACATGCAGGCAGAATACTATATAAATAAATAATAAATCTTAAAAAAAAAAAAAAGAATTTAATAATTAATTGTTACTTATGCCCATGTCTGTGCCAGATTTCTCTGGAGGCAGACTTACACATGGTTATGAGCCACTTGGTGGATATTTGGGAGCTGAACTTGGGTCCTTTGTATAAGCAGCCAGTGCTCTTAACCACTGCACCACCTTGCCAGCCCCTGGCTTCAAACTCTTGGTATTTCTGCCTCCACCTTTTTTTGTTTTGTTTTGTCTTGGTTTTCATGGCAGGATTTTCCTGTGTAGCTTTGGATGTCTTGGCCTCACTTTGTAGACCAGGCTGGCCTCCAACTCATAATGATCCACCTGCTTCTGCCTCCCAGAGTACTGAGATCAAAGGTGTGCACCACCACGCCCGGCAACTTTTTTTTTTTTAAGTAAATGTTGAAATAGTTTCCTTAACCAGTCTAGGCTAGCTTTGAACTCTGTATATAACCCAGACAGGTGTTGAACTTGCATTTTTCCTGTCTCAGCCTCCCAAGGAAATGGGATTACAGGAGTGGGTCACTGGCCCCACTGGGCCTGGCTCTTTTTAAACGAGGTGTGTCTTCAGCCCTTGGGGATCCTGTGCCTTTCATCAGAAAGGTTCTCTCTGCTGACCTGGCTTCCCTGGCTCTTGAGGAAGTGGCTCCTTATGGACTTTCTCCGGGGTTGCAGCCTCTAAAAGGTGTCGAATCTTTGGGAAGAAATTGGGAACAAAAGATAGGTCTCAGCTTCAGTCCTCTCTGTCCTCTCTCAAACATCCAGTGCATACTGGATACTAATCTGGCAGTCTCTCTTCATATATTTTAGTCTGGAATTTTAGCTTTCTTCAGTTATTTGTTTGTTTTTGAGACAAGTCTCGCTGCATAGCCCAGGTTGGCCTAAAAAAAATTTTTTTTAAAGATTTTATTTATGTGTGTTTGCACGAATGCTTAGAGGCCAGAAGAGGGCGTTGGATGTTGGATCCCAAGAAAGAGCTGGAGTTAAGGTGGCTGGAGGCTGGTAGTGAAGTCCTGTCTTCTGCAGAGCAGGACACACTTGAAACCACTGAGCCATGACTCTAGTCCTGTCCTGCTTAAACTTTTGGCACCCCTCGTCAAGACTCTTGAGTTCTTAAATTAGCGTACATTATCACTTCCCATGTGTATGTGTGTTGTAAGTATGTGTGTGTGTGGTGTGTCTGTGTGCAAGTGTTTGTGTCTGTATGTGTGATGTGTGAGTGTGTGTATGTATGTACGTGTGTGTGTTTGCCTTCAGAACTGGGAATCTGGGGCCTTGCTTATGTTAAGCAAGTGCTCTACCAGTAGGCTACACTTTCAGCTCTAAACCAAATTTTTATGCCATTTGACATCAGTAAGTCAGAGGCCACCACCACCTAGTGTGTCTCCTGTCCCTGTCCTAACCTCACCCCAAATTTACCTTGTCAAATCGTTTTTGTTTGGTTTTGGTTTTGGCTTGTTTGTTTTTGAGACAAGGTTTCTCTGTGTAGCCTTGGCTGTCCTGGAACTTCCTCTGTAGAATAAGCTAGCCTCAAACCCACAGAGATGCACTAGCCTCTGCCTCCTGAGTGCTGGGATGAAAGGCTTACGCCACTTACCGCCTGACCATCTTGTCAGTTTGTGCAGTTTTGTGTTGTGGACAGAGATAAATAGAAAAGACTCTTGAAAAGCTGTGGTGGGGTCAAGTTTGTGTTTCCAATAGAGTCAATGATGAGGATAAAGCAGGCTCAGTAAAGTGCTCAGATTCTAAACAACGTTTGCTTTTGGCTTCAGGTGGACAATTTCGATGGGAAAGGATGGCGTCTGAGCCAAGTCTGGAAGGCTAAGTAGGATCTGCCCAGCAGAGAACGAAGGGCCACTCTTAAAGGGTTGGGAAACATTTTCACAAGCAAAGAAGTAAATGTGGCGCCTTCGGGACATGGGCTGGTGTTTTCGAGCTAAGGATGCTTAGAGAAGAAGAAGAGAAGATTTGGGATGGGTACCTCTAAATCCAGGGATCAAGGCTCCCCGGATGCTGATACTGTATGCATTCAGGACCAACTGCTTGAGTAGGAAAACGAGACTAGAGTAACATCTAAGCTGTGAGGATGATGGGAGAAGACAGGAAGAAAAACCAACATATCTAGGTGAAGCCCAAGATTAGGGTTTCAGTGGTGGGAGCAGTGGAGATAGGCCTCTTGTGGGAAAACCATCCTACCAGGTTGTCCCCAGGTAAGCAAGATCTGGGGCTTTGCTTGTTTACACCGACCAATCCCTTGTTCCAGGGCCTGTTAAGGAAGCCTGTGGCAGGGTCCATCCCGAAAGCTCAGTTTGACAGGGACACTGGCCAACTCCTTCTTCCTCACTCATCTTGTGATTTCTAATAGGTTCCAGGGGAATGAGCCCTACCTGAGGAATATCAAAAGGACTAGGAAGTCTAGGATCCACAGACATCGTCCCAAAAAAGGGTTCTGGGGCATCTTCCAGCATCTCCATCATGGCCAGGCAGTTAGGAAGAAGCAAGCTAGGTCTGGGAGAAAATTTGCGGTGTCAAGGACAGAGTGAGATGGCCTTGAAGGTAAAGGCGCTGCCACCAAACCCAATGTCCTGAATTTGAACCTACCTAATGAAGAGAACCCATTTCTCATTGTCCTCTGACCTCCACATGCTTACAACGGTTTCTCTCAAGCTCACACACACGTTAGAGAGAGAGAGAGAAAGGGAGGGAGGGAGGCAGAGGCCAAGCAGCTCAGTCTGGATGGCCTCAGGTCCAGGGACTCACAGGTCAGTCTCCTCCATATCAATGCGAATCTGTAGCTGGGCCCGGTGCAGGTGCTCTAGGATATGCTGGATGTCCTCTGTGGGCAAGCGCATAAAATAACCAGCCTAGCCATGGGTCCTTCTGCCCTCGCCCACCCTTAGCGTTCCCAGCCTCACCAACAAGGTACTGGCACTGTTGAAAGTAGACCCTGACCACACCGATCTGCAGCTGGGCGGAGAGATAGAGGGAGAAGCGGGGGCGGGGCAGCCCAGGCACTGGAGGTTGCGCTCGGACCAGCACATAATTGAGGATTTCCTCGCTGGGAGAACAACAGGCCCCATCAGTGGCCCACTCATGACAGCCCCCAAACTGGAGACTCCTCCCTCTCTCTTCTGGGTCTTACCAGGTCTTAACTACATTCACTTTTAGGTATTCACGCTTCACCAACCGGCTGCCTCGGGTTGCTGCCAGCCTAGAGGAGTGGCAACAGGTATGGCTTGTGAAGGTGAGATCCCACTGCTTGGCTCCTGGCACAGCCATCAGCCCTGCGCTTACCAGATAGTGGAGAAGCAGCCTGTGTGGCGCTGAAGCACGTTGGGATAGTAGAACATCTTTGCCCTGGGTTTCACGCTCGGCACCAGTCCCGTTTGGATCCTAATTTGAATTCTTTAGGCTTTCCAGCACCATTGGAGAGGAGTAGGAATTTGGACAGGGGCCATGGTTGATGTGGATGCAAAAAGCCCAATTAATAAGATGACCAACTACTTATTGGTAATTGAATTGGAAATAACCAAACAGAAACTCAGCCGCTGGGCACGCCTCATTCTGCCATCCTGGGAAGGCCTGCATTTCCCGTGGGTACGTAGGACTTACCTTCACGATTGCGGAGATGCGGAGCTCCAAGGGAGGCCCGGCAGAGACACAGAACAGGTCTTCACAGGGAAGACTGGGTTCTCTCTTCGTCAAGAGGCCTTCTTCGTCCTCAAGCTCGACACAGACGTCGTCGTCTTGCTGTAGAGTGGGCGTCGGCAAGCTTCTGGAACTTGCTCAAGCTCCCGTCCGCCCTCCAGCGGGGCTAGGGGCACGCTCTCCCAGGCTTTGCGCAAGGACAGCCAATGGGGAACCGCGACAGAGGGAGCTCGGACTCCTGGTGTCAGGAAGCAAAACTCGGTTCCAGGCCATAGGCTCTAGGAGATCAGTTGCGAGCCAATCGCGAGCATCCTGAGCGCTACAGTGACACTGTGAGGTGTCCTGGCCAATGGGCTCTCGTTCTGTGGTTCTCTCGGGTAGTAACAAGGACTTCTCCAAGAAGCTAGCCACAGTGACCAATAAACGGGAGAAAACCCAGGCTCTCCCTGGCGACAGCTTGCTAACAAGGTATCCACTAGGAGACGGGGTCATGTAAAGGGCAGATGCCTTGGCGCTGCTTAGGATACAGAGATGCAAGGGGAGGCCCCTTGCCTGTGCTTAGGCCCTATCCTACTCCCAAATAAGTAAATTAATAATACATAAAACAGATAGATAGATAGATAGATAGATAGATAGATAGATAGATAGATAGATAGATAGATGGATGGATGGATGGATGGATGGATGGATGGATGGATGGATGGATGGATAGATAGATAGATAGATAGATAGATAGATAGATAGATAGATGGATAGATAAGATTTTAAAAAACAGGTGTGGAGATATAGCTCAGTAGTAGAGAGCTGCCTGGCATATATGTGCAAGGCCCTAGGCTTAACTCAGTACTGAAAAAAAAAAAAAAGGGAAAGAAAATAGCCTTTGATCCAAACACTCAGGAGGCAGTCAGGCAAATCTCATGAGTCTGAGGCCATGATGTTCTATGAGTTTCAGGCTAGCCAGAGCTACTTAATGAGACCCTGTCTCAAAATCAAACCCTGTTACACAGAGCCCTGGCTATTCTGGACTCACTTTGTAGACCAGGCTGACCTCAAACTCACAGAGGTCCTCCTGCCTCTGCTCCCTGAGTGCTGGGATTATAGGCTTGTGCCTCTGCGCCCAGCTTCATAGTGAATTTAACACCAATATGGACTATCATGAGGCCTAGCTCAAAAACGTACAAATTAAAAGCACACATTCTCTTTCATTCTTTTTCTCTCTCCCTCCCTCCATTCTTTCTTTGCTTGTTTGTTTTTTTGTTTGTTGAGACAGGATTCCTCTGTGTAGCCTGGCTATCCAGGAACTTGCTCTGTAAAACAGGCTGGCCTCAAACTCGAAGATCTGCTGCCTCTGCATCTGCCTCTTGAGTGCTGGGATTAAAGATGTCCACCTCCACTGCCTGGCAACATCCTTAACCTATAAATAGTCATTTGTTTCAAATAATTCTTTGAAACTGGAAATTTAATTTTTTCATATTTATTCATGTGTGTGTGTGTGTGTGTGTGTGTGTGTGTGTGTGTGTGTGTGAGTGAGTGCGTGTGCTCGCACGTTGGCACGCTGGTGGCAGGTGCTTTTACCTATGAGCCATATTGCCAGCCCTTCAAATAACTTTTTATATAAATTAAGCATATGGTTTCTATAGTATCAAAGTTATAAATATGTTTTGCTCTGGTGTCTCTGCTTTTACAAAGCCATTTCTCTGGCTTAGAGGTAGGCTCTGGCTCCAGGGTGGGCTCTTATTTTAAGACTTAGTTAAAAAAAAACAAAAACAACTTAGTTCTGTGGCAGTTGAACTGACCCTGTATCTCCATTCCTTCAGTCTGGAGCTCTGGAGAATAGGGTAGAATTTGTCCAGTGTATCTGGCTTCTAGCTAAGTAAGTACAGTGTTTGTCAAGGATGTTCAGTTACCCTATATTTACCATTCACGGTCATAGCTAAAAGTGATTGAGGGGCTGAGTATAATAGTGACTCAGACATATAATCCCAGCACTGAGGGGGAAGCTGAGGTAGGAAGACTGCCAGAGCTCAAGGCCTGTGCTGTACAGTGATTTCAGCTTGGGTTAGTGGAACATTTGACTCAAAAAACCGAAAATAAAGCAGGGCATGGTGGCAAACCCTTTAATCTCAGCACTAGGGAGGCAGAGTAGGCAGATCTCTGTAAATTCAAGGCCAGCCTGGTCTACCTAGTGACTTCCAAGACAGCCCAAGCTACATAGGGAGACCCTATCTAAAAATAACAAACGAAACAAACAAACAAACAAACAAAACCCAAAACAACAACGAGGAAAAAACAGAAACCCAGGCGAGAGATGGCTCAGTTGTTAAGAGTGCTCGCTCCTTTGTAGGGGATCCATATTCAATTTCTACAAGGCATCTCCCCACCTTCTGTAACTCTAGTTGGGAAGGATCTGGTGCCCTTTTCCGATTTTCTCAGGCTCTTGCTTGAATGTGCTACACAAAATATACTCCAGTACACACACATACACTTAAAATAAATAAGTAACACAGGGATTGAGGAATCTGGCCCAAGCTCCACCTTTTTTGTTTGTTTTGTTTTTCAAGACAGGGTTTTTCTGTGTAGCCCTGTAGTGCTGGGATTAAAGCCACTGCCTGGCTCCCAAAACGTATCCTTACAAGTGGGGAAATCACCAGCCCACACTGTTTCTTGTAGAGCACACAGCTCCCCGGAGCCTGGCTTGGAATCTTGCTGTCTTGAATTCTAGTGTACCCAGTCCCTGTCCTGCTGTGTTCGCCTACACTGGTTTCTACACATGGCAAGTTATTTCAGCCACTGAACCGTTGGTGACTTCAAGTGTCACTTTATCACTTTGGTGCTCAAAGACCAAGTGTGGGCCCTGACCAGAAGATAGACAGCATTCCACAGCTACTTTTAGGTTCAGGAGACACTTAAAGAACATAGGGTAATTTGGCCATCGTTCATCTGCACAGAAGCATGCCTCTAAACCACTGGGGATAGACAGGTTTAGTATGCTGTTCCCTGTTCTCAGGGGGTGGGGAAAGAGATGAGAAGTCAATAAAAGTGTGTGAGATGACGGCACTCTGATGTTTTAGCTTTAGTGTGTGAGTATGGAGAAGAGAGATGGCTTAGTGGTTAAGAGCATGCACCGCTCTTCCGAAGAATCCAAGTTCAATTCCCAGCACCCACATCAGGCAGCTCACGGCCATCAAGTATTTGTATCTCCAGCTCAAGGAGGATTCAACTCCTATGGCCTCTGTGTACTCAAGTGTGTGCACACACAGAGAGAAATCATTATTATTTGTCTTTTTTTTTTTTTGTCTTTTTTTTTTTTTCAGAGCTGAGGACCGACCCAGGGCCTTGCACTTGCTAGGCAAGCACTCTACCATTGAGCTAAATCCCTAATCCCTATTATTCATATTTTTGAGGGTTTCTCTATGTAGCCCTTGCTGGCCTGGAATTTGTTCTGTAGACCAGGCTGGCCTCAAACTCATAGTTCCTTCCTCTGCCTCCAGTGTTGGGATTAAAGGCCTGCACCACCAGCCGGCAAGAAACAGTATTATAGACAAAAGGACAAACAAATGACATTCTGAGGTAGCAATGTTTAATGGGTTCAAGGAGCCTGGAACAAAGTAGCATGTGGAGGAAGGATGAAAGAAGAGGCTGGGAAGGAGGTTGGAGGTCATTTTCAGGATCTTGGTTGTTACCTTGAAGGAGTTGGTAGCCGAGTTAAGAGGGTCTCTGTGTACTATGTTGAGAATCGGCTAACGGCACATGAGAGCGGGAACAAAGACAATGAAAAGCCAAAAGAAGAGATTTGTGATTCTGATGATTTCAGTGTGGAAATGGAGCTGATACAGGGTTTTGAGAACAATAGGACCTTTCTTGACCCACTTATTCTTGGCCCAAGTTCCTAAGGTATCAGACATGCAAAGATCACCGACGTCAACCTGAGACAATGGCAGACTCTTGTAGGAAAACACAAAGGAGAAGCAAGCTCATTAGAATTACAGAAAAGGGGCTGGAGAGATGGCTCAGAGGTTAAGAGCGATGGCTGCCCTTCTAGAGCCCGAGTTCAATTCCCAGCAACCACATGGTGGCTCACAACTACCTATAATGAGATCTGGTGCCCTCTTCCGGCATGCAGGCCCACATGCATACAGAATACTGTATAAATAATAAGTGAATAAATCTTTAAAGACAGAAAAGTGAGGATGGAGAGGAGAAGAGCATGTTGCTCCTCTAGAGGACCTGCATGACGGCTCACAACTGTCTGTAATTCCAGTCCCAAATGATCTGGTGTCCTCTTCCTGCCTCCATTCGCCTCCATACACCTGTATGTATACAGATACATGCAGGCAAAAACACCTGTGTACATAATAAAATTAAAATGAAAAGAATTTTAAAGTTAGAGAAAAGTGAGAAATTGGGGCTGGAGAGATGGCTCAGTGGTTAAGAGCACTGTCTGTTCTTCCAAAGGTCCCCGAGTTCAATTCCCAGCAACCACATGGTGGCTCACAACCATCTATAATGAGATCTGGTGCCCTCTTCTGCCTCTGCAGGCACACATGCAGGCAGAATGCTGTATAAATAATAAAGAAATCTTTAAAAAAAAAAAGTGAGAAATTAAGGAAAAGTGAGAGATACTCCCACGAGTGGACAGGGGTCCTAAGGGAGGAGAAGGCCACTGAATTTCCTTGTCTAGGATTTTTTTATAGGGCTGTAGCAGAAACCAGACAAAAGATGAAGTAATTGCTTGAGATTGCTTAGCTCTCAGGGATATCACTGGGCTGGCCACAAAGAAACAAGCATGCTCTGCGCATGTCTGTTGGACCCACCCAGGGAGATAATAAGGGGTTTCCCAGCCAGTCAAGAGTCACAGAAGCCCCTCTCTGTGTGTCTGACTTGTCCTTGGTTCGTTGTTGACCCCGGCTGTCCGCTGCTGTTTGTCATTTGGCCAGCGCTACTACCCGCCAACCCTTGTGTCAAGTGCTGTTGAAGTCCACTAGCGCTCTGTTGGCTTACAGGATCTGATCTGTACTCTGATCAGGATCTCACACCTTGGTCATTGACAGGATCAGCTTGTAGCTGGTGACACGGTGCCATGGCAGAGTCACCTCTACACAGCCACGAAGGTACAGCCCTGGTCTTTCTTGGTTAGCCATATTTAGCAACTTGTCTTAGGAGTGACCTGAGGTGGGCTCCTAGGCAGAAGCTTGTGCCATGAAATCTAATTTCCTTGTGATTACGGATATTAGAAATAGCTGCCTCAGAAGCAAAACTCCAGGAGCTTTACATATGGTCCTCAAGGGCTGTGGGGAGGAGCAGCTGGCCTGCCATCACTGTCCAGAACCCAGTCCCTCCTCTTACTGGTTATGCTTGGCTATTTCACACAGTTAATAAGTCCTCTAGTTCATCCTCCTCGGTCTTCCAGGCTGCCATTTTAGCCCTAGTTTCTGTTCTCACTGCAACACACACACACACACACACACACACACACACACACACTTATATTTTTATGTATTCTGCACTTTATTTCTTTGCGGGGTGCACATGTATGAAGGTATGAGGACGACTCTCATGGAGATTGAGTCTCTCTGCTTGCCATGTAGATCCAGGGATCAGACTCTCCAATCTACAGCAGTGGCAGCAGATGCCTTTACTCGCCAAGCTATCTCACTATCACCACCACCTCTTAATTCTCTCTCTCTCTCTCTCTCTCTCTCTCTCTCTCTCTCTCTCGGCAGGGTCTTACTTTGTATGAACCTCAGGCTGGTCTGGTACTCAGAGATCCATCTGCCTCTGCCTCCTGAGTGCTGGGACTAAAGGTTTGCATCACCATGCCCAGCCCCTCAGAGGATCATTTGAAGGAAGAATGATGTTTGCCCTTTTGGCTTAGAAGTAAGCTACAGGGGAAAAATACAAAGAAGTTTCGGGGGAGATTTCAGGGACCTGAGGGCACAGAAGCAGCATCTCCCTTTGCTGATGCAGTAGCCTCTTTACTCTTGGCTTCCCAGAGGGCTAAGGGAGAGGCCAGAGGAAGAAAGAGGTCCAAGGAGGCAGAAACGTACAAAGCGATCTGGGAGATGGGCAGGGCCCTGGAAGGATGTAAGCCTCTAGAACTGATCACGTGGGTGATCCTCTGGAGGCTTCTGCTATGGCAAGAAAGTAAATCCTGTGTTATGTACAGGAACGGGGGCACTGAAGGTGGCGGCAGTCAGGTGACAATGGAACTAATCTGGTGGAAGTGGTGAGAGCAGGTGTTAAACGGGCTTTGTGAAGGAAAGACTTCCCCACTGGGTGACGAAAAGAAATGGAATAGAGTGTCAGTCAATAACAAGCTGGAACGGAGGGACATCTTTATTCCCAGTGCTCAGGAGGCAGAGGCAGGCAGATCTCTGTGAGTTCCAGGCCAGCCAGGGTCAGAGAAACCCTGCTCTAAAAACAAAACAAAACAAAACAAAACAAAACAAAACAAAACAAAAAAAACTAACAAAAGCAAGGGAGCACCCAGGTGTCAGTGAGCAGGGTGAGAGAGCCCACCGTGGCTCTCTCAGTCACTCTTAGTTATCTTTTTTGTTTTTAAGACAGGGTCAAGCCAGCCTGGCGGCAGGAGCAGGGGGATTGTGAGTTCCAGGTCAGTCTGCTCTACAGAGAGGTCCAGGACTGCCAGGGCTACATTGTGAAACCCTGTCTCAAAACAAAAGCAAGCAAACAACAACGACAAACAAAAGATAAACAAAAATAGATAGGGTCCCATGTCATCCAGATAGGCCTCAAACTTCCTATCTTCCTGCCTCAAGTTGCCAAGTACTGGGATTATAGGCATGAACCACTGCTGGAGAACTCTGCTGTTTGAGGTCAGTCTCCTTCTTTGTCTCTGCTTGACCTCATCTGGAGAGTGTCTTTAGGCACAGACGCCTCTAACAATGTCTGGAATAGGACCTTTGACACAGCTCCCTGCTAACACATTCCCCGCTGCTGCCCACAGGAAAATTAAGTACTATGTTCGGGCTCATGATAGGACCGTGTTGTGCTGCCAAATGCACATAGAGTATCCCTGACACTTCAAGCCCCAGTCATCAGTGTACACCTCCCCTGGAACCCTTCTATCCACAACCCCAGAGCTGTAGAGCCTTTGTCCACCCTGAGTAAAGTTGAGCAGACTCACCGAAGCTGGTCCAGAAAGCTATTCCATTGTATTCACCAGCCTTCTGAACCCCCGGATACTTCTGCTCCCTTTGTCCCTGGGAGACGGGTGGCCAGTGATAGGGGTGGGGGGGACAGAGGGAGCTTCAGAAAGCACCACGCCTGGCCGAAGCCAGGTGGCCTTTTGTAGGGCAGGTACAGAGGAATCCAGTTCTGGACTACCCTTCAAGCAGGTGGGGGTGCGTTTACCAAGCACGGCCCCACAATGTCTGCAGCAGTTTAAATTTGGACCACGTTTTCAGTGTCCCCTTTCGGTTGAGACTTCTAATCTAGGGATCATCCTGAGGCAGGCACATTGTTGAAACTTCTGACAATGAACTATGGAGCCAAGATTTTCCCACATCAAGTTGGTGGCTCTCTTAGTTACTTTTTTAATGCTCTAATAGACACCTTGACCAAGGTAACTTATAAAACATTTATTTTGGGGCTCAGAGAATGGCACCGGAGCATTGGCTGATTGTTTACATCTGATTCACAAGTATGAATGAGACTGGGAATGGCATGGGTATCTTGAAATCTCAAAGCCCAGTGACACAACTCATTCAACAAGACCAGACCTTCTAATCATTCCCAAATGGTTCTACTAGTTGAGGAACAAATATTCAATATATGAGCTGATGGAGGCTATTGTCATTCCAACTGTGACAGTGGCTCTAGTGCCTCTCTGAGATCGAATCCAATCCTTTCCCCAATCTTGGTTGCCTAAAACTTGGGTGCAGGCACCCGGCCCTGGAAGTACTGGGTCAAATCTGAAGAAAAATATAAAAATAAAAAAGGAGGTTGGGGTGGGGGTGAGATCAAGGATTGGCAGGAAGTGAGAAGGCATGGTGGTATATGCCTGTGAACGTAGCACTTAGGAGCCTGGGACACTGTGGGTTAGACTAGGTTCTGAATCTAGAGTCCAGATGGCATTCCAACTAGTTCTATGGACAGAGGAGAGCTAAGATGAAAACATCAGGAAGAGAACCCCGATGCCAGGTACCCAATTCCCCTGTTAATTCCCCTCTCCCAACAAATCTGATAACCATCTCTCTCTTAGTAAGCTTTTATTTATTTTTTGGAGACAGGGTCACAATATGGCAGGCTGGCCTTGAATTCACAATCTTCCCACCTCTGCTTCAAATGTGCCAAGTGTGTGCTACCCCACCCACCTACATTTTATTTAAAATTATGCTAAGGACCTAGGAAGAAAATATAAAGTGCCTGGACTTAGACTTTAGGGACTGAGAGGAGAGAAAAATTCCCCTCGAGATCACAGCATTTGGAACTTTCCTGTTCCTTAGAGATGAAAGAGGGTGTGTGTGTGTATATACAGTAAAGTCTCTTAGGCTGTTCTTTTTTTATTAAAATTTTTTATATTAATTACAGTTTATTCACTTTGTATCCCAGCCCCCTCCCTCATTCCATCCCAATCCCACCCTCCCTCCCTCATCTCCTCCCATGCCCCTTTCCAAGTCCACTGATGGGGGGGCCCTTCCATCTGACCCAAGCCTATCAGGTCTCATCAGGCTTGTCTGCATTGTCTTCCTCTGTGGCCTGGTAAGGCTATTCCCCCGTCAGGTGGAGTTGATCAAAGAGTCTGCCACTGAGTTCATGTCAGAGACAGTCAGTCCCTGTTCCCCTTACTAGGGAACCCACTTGGACACTGCCATGGGCTACATCTGAGCAGGGGTTCTAGGTTATCTCTATGAATGGTCCTTGGTTGGAATATCTGCCTCAGAAAAGACCCCCGGGCCCAGATTTTTTGGTCCTGTTGCTCTCCTTTAGATTGTTCTTGAAACTCATAATCACTTGGTCTATCTCTCAAGTGCTGAGTTTACAAATATTCACCAACAAGCCTGGCTCTCAAAATAATTTTTTTTCCTGTTTGTTTTTTGAGACAGGGTTTCTCTGTGTAGCCTTAACTGTCCTGGACTTTGTAGACCAGGCTGGCCTCAAACTCACAGTGATCCACCTGCTTCTGCTTCCCAGAATGCTGGGATTACAGGTATGCGCCACTGTGCCTGGCTCAAAATATTTTTTTAAGGATAAAAATTATACTTGTGCTTTCTATCAGCCATCTTGTATAACCCACAGTGATAAAATCCATCACAAAAACAGGCAGACTGACGGTGTGGAGAACAAGTCTGTTTCCGTGGAGACCCGAATATCAGAGTGCTAACGCACCAAGTGGCTGTGCTGGGTTCTGTACCAGGAACAAGGTGGCTCTCTGCTCCTCTGGAATCTTCTCCAGTAAAGGTCGGGCAAAGGCCTGCTCCATCTATACCAGAAGAAATGAGGAACAGCCTTGACTGAGCGTTGAAGGGACAGCTTGCTACCCTTCCCCTCAGAGAATTCTTCCGATAGACAAATCAACATCAAGCTTCCTACTGGAGCTGAACTCACCTGCACTGTGATGAGATTTTCTTGGGTCTGGCTGGAGCCAGGGCTCTGCTCCCAGAAATGCAGTGTTGCCTGGAACTTGGGGGGTGGGCCCTGGCCCTGGAAGTACTGGGCCAAGTCTGAAAGGAAAGGGGTCAAGGATGGGAGGAAAGAAGAGGGGAGGCAGGGTGGCAGCATGGCCAGGCCTGGCTGTACATGCCTGTCACCCCAGCACGCAGCCTGGGGCAGGAGAGTCACTGCGTGTTTGAAGCAGCCTACTTAGTGGGATAAGTAAGGCCATCAGATTTGCCTCAAAAGCAAAACCAAAAAAATATAATAGCGGAGCATGAGGGAAGTGGAACTGTCTGGGAAGCCAGATGCAGGAAAAATTGGGAACGGGGTAACATGGACGCCCAGCCAGAGCAGAAGTTGTAGTTAGAGTGGCTAGGAACTGAACCGCTCTCCCCGACGCTGCTGGAAAGGGCGCCCCCTGTAGGTTACAACAGCACATGCTCCTGCTCAGAGGCTCGGGAGTCCTCAGAAGCAGCAGCTCCTTGCTGCTGTGTACCCTTTCAACACTAGGACACTGTGGTCCCGGGGACACCCACACTCTGCGCTCCTCACTCCGTGGCCCTACACTCATATTTAGAGACTGTAACTAGACTCTCAAGAGTGGGCAGAAGGAAGGGGGCAGTCTTGGGAGATGCCTACAGTGTGGCAGAGACGGGCAAGTGTATGCAAGATGTCTTGGCTCTCTGGCAGAGCTGTGTGTTCCGATGTGTGAGGAGACGGTCATGAGGCTGAAGATCTGTGTTAACTCTTTGTACACCTTCGTATAACCATGTCTCAGTGTGACAATGTTTCCCCAGAATTCATCGCTCTTGTGCTGAACTCCAGCTGAACCTCAGGTATCACAACCTTGGCTAGGGAAACACTTCCAGAGTGGACCATGTGACTGCTGCACGGCGTCACACAGTGCAGGCGTGCTATGCGGTGAGGGCCTGTGGTGGGTGGGGGAGGGGCCAGCGGGTGCTGAGGAAAGGAAAGGTGCTAAGGGACAGGCTTACCTCTACAGAAGGAAGTGGTCTTGAAGAGTACCACACACTTATTGTTGGGCAGCAGGTGAGGCCCAGGCCCAGGCGGGGCCTCTGGTGCATTCCAGGAGATGGGGATGGGGCAAAGGCGTTGAACAAAGAGGCCCCTGGAATTGCTGGCCACCAGGAGGCCTCTCTCAAGCTGACTGAGCAGGTGCTGGGTGGGCTCTGGTGGGTCAGGTTTGGGGAACAGCACCTGCAGCATGGTTCTGTCCGAGAATGAGGGATCAGCCACCAGCCGGCAGTCTAGGCTGTTCACCTGGACCTCGCTCACCACACGCCCACTGTAGATGAAGGTAAGCCGCAGCGAGAAGTCTGTGGGAGGAAAAGCTCAGCTGCCCTAGGTGTGGGAGGAGCCTGAAGGCTGGCGAGAAGCCTCTCCCCAAGGGGCACCCTCAGCCCAAGGCTTTAGAAGAAGGAAGTTCAGTGTGGGCAAACTGAAGTCCAGAGCAGGAATCCAAACAAACACTGGGAAAGACAGGGTTTCAGGGCTAAGGCAGCTCGAGTTAGAGAAGGTGCCTTTGGGCTCATAATGTGACTCAGTTCAAAGAATGGTTGCCTACCATGCACAAAGCCCAGGCAGGGTTCAATCCCTGGGCCCGGCATGGTGGCACACATCTGTAATCCCAGCACTCAGGAGGATCAGGTCATCTTTGGATACAAAGTGAGTCTGAGGTCAGTCTAGGCAATACAAGACTGTCTTAGGGAAAGATAAAAGGCGCCCTCCTCCTCCTTATGCATGCTTTAGCTTCTTTGTCACTCAGGACTCAGTCCTATCATGGCGTAATGATCACGGTTGTGCAGTTTACAAGAACGTCTCACAGACCAGACTTTTAAATGTCTCCATTTGGCTGTGTAAGGTGCGTTTTTTCCTGAGGGAGAAACATGATCAGCTACATGACTATTCAGTTCCTAGAAGTGGTTCCTCCGAGATAGAGTGTTGTAGGGCTTAGCTGGGCAGACAAAGCAGGCAAGGCCGGAGGAAGCAGAGCTGGGAGGAGGGGAACGGGAGGGCGAGAAAGGCCACACACCTGGGTTCTCAGAAAGCTGCTGCTCCATGAACACCGAGTCATCCTGCATGGTGTCTTCAGTTGTGCGGGCACCTGCTAGGGAGGCCAAGGCAGCAATCATTCAGAATGGGGCCCAAGAGCTGAAGGGAGAGGGTGCCAGAGACACACAGGCAAGAGAAAGGTACCTTCCTCCAGCTCAGGGCTAGTGCCGCTGCTGCTGCTGCCGAAGCTGCTGCTGCAGCTGTTTCCGCTGCCGCCGCCGGCATCGCAGCAGCTACTGCTGCTGCTGTCACTGTCTGAGTGGCTCACAGTCCCATTGGTTCTCCCCTTCTCCTAACAGATACAATAGCTCTCATTGGCAGACCTCCCCCTCTGATTCCGCCCCGCTCTTTGGCCTGCCTTTTCCCTTCCCCAGCACTCACATTGGCTAGGGCGTCCTGAAGACAGGGATGACTGAGTGCCACATTAATCCTGCCCTTCCTTACCTTGCCCTCTTCCCTCTCAGGTGACTCAGAACTGAGATGTCGCTTTGATGATGATTTCTGGGTTCTTGGCTGGGCTGTGGAAATGGTGCAGGTAGAGGAAAGTTGAGGTCTTTTTTTTTTTAAACAGACAAAGATGGTGGGGAAAAGAGCCGAAGCAACCAAAATCTGGGCAGGGTCAGCAAGCTCAGGAAGGGCCTGTCAGCGAACAGAAGACTCTCATCTCCATCCTTCCTTGCCAACCTGCTCATTGCAGCAGCAGCTGGGCAAAGGGACACTCACCAGGGAGGGTTCCTGGTGGCAGTATCCGATAGACTTTGTAGGGTTCGGCAACATCCATGCGGCCTCTGAGGGGAACCTCCTCAAATTCAGGACTCTTGTTGAGTGCACAGCGCAGACGAGTCTTCCAGACGGCGGGGTTGCCTATGTCCCCCCCCTTGTGCCTCTGCTTAAACTCTGCCCAAGCCTAGCAAGAGATGAAAAGAAGAAAAGACAAAGGATTGCATTCTCCTGAGGTCCCTCCAGATGACTGGCTGCCCAGGTATGTGGCCTGAGCAAGCACGGGGCTTGAGACCAGAGGAGCCTGGATTCTGTTCTTGCCAGCTTGAAGTCCTTAGAAAGTCTCAACTGTGGCCCTGCAAATGACAAAGCTCGTTCTATTTTCTAGTATTTCCTTTATCCAAAACTCAGACAGAAAAAAGTACTTGATGATAAACAAACACAAAAGGGTAGGCGCCAGCCTTTTCTTGAGATGGTGGCTTCAGGCCCTCACCTTGAATATGGCAGCGTCCTCCTCTCGGAAGTCTTGCTTGCCTGCGTGCTTCCAGGGAATCCGGAACATGGTCTTGGCTTCATCGTCCCAGCACACCCCTGGGAACTGCCCGCTCTCCACCTGCGCCACTATCCAGCTCCGGAGCTTTCGGGTACAGCGTGCTTTGCCCGAGGCCATTCTAGAAAGAGGAAGCAGGATACATAGAACTACTCCTAAGTTTTGAGACAGGACTTCACTGTGACATCCTGGCTGGCCTAGGACTTCCTAGATAGACCAGGCTGGGCTTTTGAAGTGCCGCCATGCCGAGTGAAGCCACAAGTTTGGAAGTACCTGCTAAACCCTGACCACTGGGGCCAGCTTCCTGCAACCACCCAGAGTTCTCTGAAGACCCTTCCACGTTCTTGTCTCTCTCTTGAAACATTCTGCGAGGTAGAAACTATTTCTTTACTTTTCTTTTTGACCTTCCAAGTTGCTCACAATGGAAGGAAGCCTTGGACATTGGTCTTAGTAAGTTGAGGTATTACTTGGGAAGACCCCCTGAGTGATCTGCTCCTGGCGACCAACTGTGTATATCTCAAGCAACCACTGAGGCAACACTTTCTTTTAAGGCATCTACCCAACCTATTCCTCAGTCCTTCTCTTTGCTAGAGGGACAGGTGGGGCAGTAGCTGGGGGCAAGGGTGGAGCCAAAGCAGTAGGCAGGGCCAGAGGCAAGAAAACAAAGGTCAGCAGAAGCCTAGCTAAGGGCCATCCCCAACAGATAAGCTGGCAGCAAGTCCCCGTATACACAGATCAAACCTATTTTCTGATCACAAGCCTCTGACTTTCTCTAGTATAGGGAGGGTCCTGGGAGCCCTCACCAACCTGGACTCATTGCTCTTCCAGCCGATTCCCCTCCCGAGTTAATCTTACCTGGGCGACGAGAGTTTGTCCCAGGCTCAGCTTGTTCTAGGCAGTTTCTGATCTCTCCTCCCCTTTCTGTACTCCCCACCCTAGGTTTCAGTTCTCCTCCGAGGAAGCGCGTTTCCTAGAAATCACGTGGTCCGAGCTGCAGGGCAAGCGGCAACCACCAGAGGGCAGCAGCATGTGAGGCTGGCAGCATCAACACCTTTCCAGGCCTGTGATTCTGGTGGACTCCTGCTTCCTCCCAGAACCGTTCCCTGTCTCAGATCTGACCTGGAGACTGATTTGTGCTCCCCAACAATGTCTGCCTGGTATACTTTAGGTGATGTCACATAGCAGCCGAGTTAAATGAAGTGAAAAAAAGCAGAGCCTACAGCAGGTGGTTAGATGTGGAGGGTCTCTTGTTCATCCGTGGTGTTTCATCTTCCTGGCCAGGAGTCCGGGCGGTTGGCTGGAAGGCTGCAGAGGGCCCTTTCAAGAAGACTCTGTTTGCTCACCCCCACCCTTTCCCTCATGCCCCTAGATCACGGTGAGGCCAGGAAGAAGGACTACCAAAAGCGTAGGCCATAAGATGCCTCTTTATTGGTGCTGGAGCTGTTGCGCAGGGCAGGGTCATGAAGCCCCATCAGGACCCGTGCCCTCAGCTACTTCCTTCTGCGGGGAATACTCTGTCCCAAGGGTACTTCTTCTGTCAGCTTCTGCAAAGGAGAGGGGACAATGATATGGAGACCTGAAGAGGCTGAGAGAGGTGGCTGTGAAGGTAAGGACGGAGTTGGAAGGCTGGGGGTGACTGCATCACCTGTAACAACCGGGCCTGGTAGGCAGGAAGATCCTCTCCGTCCATCGGCTGGGGCGGGACATGCAGGTAGCGCCTAGTGGCTGTCTCCAGCTCCTCCACTTCATACAGGGTGGCTGGGTCCAGCGAGTGGGCATTGATGAGGCTCACAAGGTACTCTTTGTAGTGTGCCCTGGGGAGATGAGGGAGCAGAAGAGTTATTCTTCTGTTTACTATTAGCTACATGAGCCTGATACCTAATGCCAACTGGGATTTTTTTTTTTAAAGATTTATTTATTATATATACAATGTTCTATCTGTGTGTATACCTGCATGCCAGAAGAGGGCACAAGATTTCATTATAGATGGTTGTGAGCCACCCTGTGGTTGCTGCGAATTGAACTCATGACCTCTGGAAGAGCAACCAGTGCTTTTAACCTCTGAACCATCTCTCCAGCCCCCACTGGGATTTTTATTTATTTATTTTCCATACTTGTCACAGTGAACATATATGCAGGTTGGATGACAACTTATGAGTTGGTTTTCTCCTTTCACCATGTGGACTTAGGAGACAGAATTCTACTACCCATTCCTGTTCTTGCCCAGCAGGACCCCTCCCTCCCGCCCTCCTGCTCTTTGAAAAATCGGCCAGCCCCAGAGGTCTTACTGCCTGGGCAATCTAGTCCTCATCCCAAAGCCATGCTCCATGCTCTGGCAAGCACTCACTGACAGAGGCCGGCATAGCCAGGTGGAGTTTCCTTGCCACAAGCTTCGTCCCTGAACCCATTGGGAACCTCTTTTTGCTCCATCACTCGGCAGCCACCTAAGAGTAAAGAAGGAAGGAGCATACGTTGGGAGGGGGCCAATGAGCCCAGGAAATCCTGCCTGACCAGTAGTGGTTATGTTGTACTTTTGGAGATGGATTCAGAGGCACAGTGACTCAGAAACGGGGTGAAGACCTTTCCATCTTTTTCACCAAAGTGGCTTATGGTCCATAATCCTATGTTCTTTTGTGTGTGTGTATCTATGTAGCTTTGGCCGGCCTGTCACATGCTCTTAAAACTGCTGTCCTGGTTGTTATTTAGCTGCTGCACAGCCAACGTAGTCCCTGAAAGTCTTATCTCTACCTAGAAGCAGAGTAGGGTCCATTAGAACCTTATTCAACATTTCTTGTTCTCAGTACAGAACCTAAAACAGTAGCCTAAAACCTAAAGCAACTGGCAGGTATCATTAATTACCCAGAGTTAATTAACGAATCTTAACCATTAGAGAGCATGAGACACTTGAGGGCCAGATGCTCTAATGATACCTTATGTCGCACAGCTTAGCCATTATGGATATTACCCTCATTTCACAGGAGAGGCTAATTGTCTTGCCAAAAGGCACATAAATGACCCCAGATCCAAGCCTCCCCACTTCTTTACCCATCATAGTGAGAGCCCAGGATACTGTCTGCACTTCGGAAGTTCGTCAGATGCTTACCTCCAGGGACTGCCCGGGTCCCAGCTGGGGGCTCTGTATTGAACATGACGTTATTGTCCTAGGGAGAAGTAGACACATATGGGCATTATTTCCCTTGATCCAGCCACTCTCCCGCTTCCTGGCTTCCAGCCTTTTCCACTCTTGCTTTTCCTGCACCCTTCTCCTTTTAGCACTCTGCACACCCAGCCAGGCTGGCCACCTCTGACCTGCAGCAGTTTCTGGAGCCGGGCAGCAGTCCAATCCCGTAGATAGAAGAGGCAGTCTCGAGGGTGGTGGCCATGAAGGGATTTTTTCACCTTGCAATCAGGGTCTGGACATTTCTGGTAAAAATCCATAGGAGAAGGAAGTTTGAAACAGTTGGGGTCCTGAACTCTCAAGAACGCTTGTGCAAGGGGACATGGGACTGAGATCAAGACATTAATGGGTCTGGAGCAAGGAATGGGGGCAAGAGGGCAGAGGGATGCTCTCTAGCCTGCTAACCTGGCCCCTGCCCTTCACGCCTCCCGCACCTCTCCCCTTTCCTCACCCTCTGAACTCACGTTTTTGGCATAAAAGGCATTGTAGCAGCCGCTGCAGAACTGGTGACGGCACTGGGTGCAGTGGAAGTGCATGCAGCCTCCTCGGGCCAGTGCGTACGAGAACTTGCACTTAGGGCAGTCTGTAAGGAGCAGTAGTCAGGGTGAGGGCAGCACTGCAACCCAGGCCCTTAAAGAGGAGGCTCCCGCCAAGACTATGAGCAGAGAGGCTAAGCAGGGTAGCCTTACCGATGCCATTTTCCTGAAGATACATTGCGAGGCCTTGCGCCTGGTATTCTGGGTCATTGGTTCGTTTCCAGTTCTGGAAATCCTCACAGCTCCGCCCTCGGTGCTGTTCCTCCCACTGCCAGGATGAAAGAAGGCTGTGCATGGAGGCTCTGTCCTGCTGTCCAACTACTCACACCCAGTGGTGCCAGCTTAGTTATATCACCCACCTTGGCTGTCCCATCCAAGCCTACACCGCTTTAGTCCAGTAAATTTTGGTTCAAATACTAGCTTGGGTTACTACACCCTGCTTCCTCTACCTCATTCTCTACCTTCAAAGCAACGCCAGGGAGCTCCCATAGTGCTACTAGCAAGCTAACTCTGAGGTCTGGTGGCTGGAACACAGTATTCACTTTGTTATATTCTATGACACCGACACAAGGCTTTTGGTATCAAAGCAATCCTTTAAAGGACGATGATAGTGGCACTTTGTGCTTGGTCTCAAAATGAATGCTGAACACCTGTATTCCTCAGCCTCAAGGGCTGCCCAACCCCATCACCTGATAGTCTCACTCTTCCTCTCGTTCTCATTTTGGCCTTTCTATGGATTGCTCTTTGCTCCAAATACTTTCTGCATGGCTGGCTTCTTAAGTTTTGGACCCAAGCTTAAACAGTTCTCAGGAGACATGCTGGGTGTGGTGGTCCACACTGGAACCTCAGCTCTTGGGAGTCTTAGAGCAGTTTTGGCCACATAGTAGCCTTCTGCCAGAAAACCAACAGGAAGCCCTTTGTTCTCTGTGCATGTACGTGCGTGTGCACCTGAACATGCATGTAAGTGGAGGTCAGAGTATAAAGCCCTGTCTCATTTCTTTTTGAGACAGGGTATCTCATGGCCTGGTTCTCAAATAGGATATGGTGGCTGGCCAGCAGGCCCCAGGGATCCACCTGTCAATACAAGTGCTGGAATTACAAGTGTATACCACCAGACTGCACATTTTTCTCTTAAAAAGTAATTAATTAAGTCGGGCGGTGGTGGTACGCACCTTCAATCCCAGCATTTGGGAGGCAGAGGAAGGTGGATCTCTGAGTTCGAGGCCAGCCTGGTCTACAGAGTGAGTTCCAGGGCTACAGAGTGAAAAACTGTCAGAAAAGAAAAGAAAAGAAGAGAAGAGAAGAGAAGAGAAGAGAAGAGAAGAGAAGAGAAGAGAAGAGAAGAGAAGAGAAGAAGAAAAGAAAAGAAAAGAAAAGAAAAGAAAAGAAAAGAAAAGAAAAGAAAAGAAAGGGAAAGGGAAAGGGAAAGGAAGGGAAGGGAGGAAGGAAGGAAGGGAAGGAAAAAGGAAAGGAAAGGAAAGGAAAGGAAAGGAAAGGAAAGGAAAGGAAAGGAAAGGAAAGGAAAGGAAAGGAAAGGAAGAAAGAAACCCCAAAACAGAATCAATCAATTAACTGTGAAAGCCAGTCCTCTCCTTCTACAACAAGTGAAAGCCAGTGAAAGCCAGTGAACAAGTGAAAGCCAGTCCTCTCCTTCTACAGTGTGGGTCCTGGGGATAGAACTCAGGGTGTCAGGTGTGGTGATGATACCTTAACCCACTGAGCCAGTTTGCTGGCTCTAACAGAGCTTTCAAAATTTTTGTTTGTTTAATGTGTATGGGTGTTTTGCCTGCATGTCTGTTCACCACATTGTGTGCCTGGTGCCCAAGAAGATCGGAAGAGGGTGTGAGACCCCCCTGGAGCTGGAGTCAGACAGGTGTGAGCTACCATGTGGGTGCTGGGAACTGAACCCAGGTCTGCTGGAAGAACAGCCAGTGCTCCCAACCTCTGACGGTCTCTCCCGCCCCGACCCAGTTTTTTGTTTTTGTTTGTTTTTAAACAGGTCCTGGGGATTGCACTCAGCTCATGACTGCCTCAAGCACCTTAGAGACTGTGTCATCTCTCTAGGTCCTCAGTAAGCCCTTTAGGCTTACAGAGCATGACTGCTTTGTCTTCTAATATGCTCCGAGTCTAATACAGTATCTGGCAATAGCTCAGCCAACACTTCTGAAAGGATAGGTGTGACTCACCTGGCGCTTGCAGCGCACACAGAAGGTCTGGTGACACTGGGGACATGTCGCCTCCAGCTGTTCACGCTCATATATGAAGCCAAAGGAACACTGTGAGTACAAGAGCACAAAGCTATTTAAGACCTGAGCCGGTAGCATCTCCTGGGCCCCCACAGTTAGTTCTTTCTGCCAGGCTGCTTACCTGGGCACACCACAAGAACTTGGGGTCTCGCATGAGCACACCCTCGGTCAGCTTCTTGTGAAACAGGGCATATGCATCCGGGTCTAGGCTCTCTCTGAGCTGGGGGCAAGATCAGAGGTGGGACACGGGCAGAAACTTGTTCAAAGCCCAGTCCACCTAAACCATAGAGGCTGTAGTACCTGGATGTCAAGGGTGGAGAAGTAGCTGAGCAGCTGCGTGTCGTCAGTGAGGTCAGGGCGGCCACAGGCCGGGCACACCATATCTGTGATGTGTTTCTCCTTCACAGCAATGGTGAAGTGTTGGCGGAAGCAGTCAGGGCATATGGTGCACTCACAGGAAATCAGGGCCTGCATCTACAGTGGGAGGGGGAGAAGAGATAAAGGGGAATCTGCTGTCAGCCCTGGGAAGGGTCAGTAGTCTTGGTGGTACACAGTAACTACATAATTCAGGAATACACTGAAAAACTAAGGTCTAATTAAGTGGGCAAAGACAGCAAGCTCAAGTGCCTACAGGTCACGGGCAGGCAACCCATGTCTGAAGACAGCTGGATGGAGCCCAGCTGACAATAGTGAAACCTGAAGTAAAACAAACCTATCTCTAAAGGCATTTTCATTTAATTAAAAGTGAAAGGCCCAGAACTAATTTACAATTATATACACTGCATACATATTATGTGTGTGTGTGTGTGTGTATATATATATATATATATATATATATATATGTACCAAAAAATAAAAAAAATCAAAACTCATAGTCAGACTAAGATAGATTGTATTCACCTGAGGAACTGCTACTCTTTGACCTAGACTAGGTGGAGCTCAGAATAGAATAAAGACCTGTTATCTCTCACCTAGATACTGTGATATCAAAGAATTACTACGCTGGATATAAAACACGCATGAAGGCCTTTATCCCCCAGTGCTTTGTGATATGATGACACATGCCTGTAGTCTTAGCACTGTGAATATGGAGACTGGATCAGCTCATGTAAGATTACCTCTAACCAAATGGTTGACTGGATACATGAGACCCCACCCTGAATTAAGAAGAACCATGCTGGGCTGGAGAGACGACTTAGCCAGCAAGTGTTTGATGTTCTTCCAGAAGACTCAAGTTTGGTACCCAGGATATTGGCTCACACCTATACCTGTGATTTATGTTCCAAGGGATTGAATTTTTTTTTCTTCTTTCCGAGACAGGGTTTCTCTGTGTAGCCACTATCACCTGGCTCAGGGTATATGATATCTTCTGACCTCCATGGGTATCCACATATATGTGACATATATACTAATTCACAAACATGATAAATAAAAAATAAATCTTAGGCCAGGTGTGGTGGCGCAATCTCAGGAGGCAGAGGCAGGCAGATCGCTGTGAGTTCAAAGACAGCCTGGTCTACAAAGGGAGTCCAGGACAGCCAAGGTTACTCAGAGAAAGCCTGTCTCAAAACAATAAAAATCTTAAAAAAATAGTTGCTTCTTTCTGATTTTTTGTGTTTATATTTTCAAATGACATTTACCTACTGAAATAACTACAGATAAAACAATGTGACACTTGATATGTGCTTCAAAATAACCCTCTGTGTATATACACAAATGAAGATTAGGCATGGAGAGGAGAGGGCTGTAAAGGGAGAGGAGCAGGGAAGTTTAGTATGATTTTTGCTTTTGGTTTTTTGAGAAAGGATTTCTCTGTGTGACCTTGACTGTCCTGGATTTGCTTTGTAGAGCAGGCTGGCCCCAAACTCACAGAGATTCGCCTGCCTTTGTCTCCCTAAGTGCTGGATTACAGGTGTACATCACCATGCCCAGCTATATGATTTTTTTTTTATACTACTGTTTGCTATAGTTTAGATTCTCTCTCTCTTTAAAGACAGTCTCATTATGTAGCTCTGGCTAGCCTGTAATTCTCTACATAGAACAGAATGGCCTCAATGCACAGACATCTGTTTGCCTCTGTCTCCTGAGAGCTGGGCTTAAAGGTGTGCAGCATACATCCAGCAAAAGTGGGGTGCTTAGAGGCAGGGCCGAGGTCTTCTGGTCACTATGCCCTAGCAGAAGACTACGGCACCCTCGCCTCTCACTTTCTGGCTTCCTAGCCACAAGCTTAGTGGTTTTGCTGCCACATATTCCTACCCGACGCGCCAGCAAACGCCAAAAACAATGGAGCCAGCAGACGAAAAACTAAACCCTTGGCTCAGCAGTTAAGAGCAACGGCTCTTCTTTCAGAGGGACTGAGTTCAGCTCCCAGCACAGTAGCTCATAACCATTTATAATGGGATCTGATGCCCTCTTCTGGCATGCATGTGACATGCAGATAGATGCATTCACATAGGTAAAATAAATAATAATAATAAAAAATGAAACATCAACTAAAACCTCAAAAACCGCAGGACAAAACAAGCCTTTTCTCCTTGTAAGTTGGTTATTTCAGGTCTTTGTTGTAGCAAAAGAAAGTTAAGACAATGTCTGAAGGTCCCAACATTTTACAAAGGGGTGTTCCTGCTTTTCCCTTATCAGAGGCCTTCAGTGGTGTACTGACAACAGCAGAAGACAAGGCCATCTGGGGTGAGGAGCAGCCACTCTGCGTCCAGATACAGCAGGAAGGGGCTTACCCGGTTGCGGGGGAGGGCCCACCCGCACACAGCACATTCCTGGGCAAGCAGTCGGCGCAGAAAGGCCCGGTCATGGCTGTGCTTCACAGCCTCCACCACGTCTGATAGCTCGTAGTTCCTGGGTGTCTCCTGCAGCAGCGCCAGTGCCAGCTCAGCTCGACCCCAACTGGGGAGTGCGTAGACTGCCAGAAGGCGTCTGACCAGGCTCTGCAACGTGATTCAGGAGGAGACACAGTGGCTGTCAGACCCCTGGGATCTTCACCCCTGGTCTTCTCTTGCTCCTTTAAGTGGGACATGGGGGCCTTGCCTACTCCCAGCACCTGTTTATCCAGCCCATCCCAGCAGGGAGTGGGTTCAGGGCCTTTGTCCCATAGGCGCTGATGGAATGGCTCTAGGCGCTGGCGCTGTAACTCAGTCAGGGCCCGTGCCACATCACCCCCATGCTGGAACAATGCTTGGAGGGACCCTTCTTTAGGCCCAAAGCCCAGGGACTGGAGCTCCTGCACCTGCATTTGAAAGCAGGAAGAAGATGTTAAGAGGAAAAAGTAAGCAAGAAAGACTCTGATGTTGTCAACCCATACCACCTCCAGCAAAATGGTACCTTCCTCCTCCTGGCCCTCACACACTCCTCTACAGCTTCATCAAGGTTGCCATGACGATCAAGCCAGGCTTTCCGGGCTTCCTGACAGGAAAAGGCACCCAGCCCTGGATCCTGTTGTCCAGCCATCTCAGCCACCATCTCCAGGACGTAGGATAGCTCTGAACGCAGCCACTGCAGGGGCACCTCAGTGCCTGAGTACTGTAAGGCTGAGAAGATCTCTTCTGGACTGGCACCTGCAGCTTCCCCTTCCTGGAGAGCAGTCGTACCCAGACAAGAAGAGGCACATCAGGAGGGGAATTCCACCCAGCCTCAGCCTGAGCGACCACGGCTCGGCCAGGAGCTGAGTGTGTGACCAGTGCACAGCACGCCATTGATCAGAGTACTAATTGGCAAACCATGGCGTCTCCTTTTCCCAACAGCCCATGTCTCAGCCCAGGCCCAGTCCTCACCTGGATCATGCTCACTAGCTGGAGACTCTCCTTTCGCAGCTTATCCTGGCGCTGTTTCTCTGGGTCTCCGCAGGAAGCAGGCAGGGGTCCACTGAGGTGCAGTGGGGACCCAGGCTTTGGAAGTCCCTTTTCCAAAGCACTGGGATAGGGCTGAAGGGCATGCTGTCCTGGGATGGGGTTGCGGGTTCGGTTGCAAATAGCACAAACCCAGACAGAGCCTGAGTTGCAGAAGGTACAGTGATCACAGTACCACACTTGAGGCTGGACAGAGGAGAGCAAAACATCCCCCTGCTGGAAAGGTAGAGAGAATTATCCTATCGATTGTGTGACTAAGGTTTACATGAAGGTGACTAAAGTCTGAGGGCTGTGACAGAAATACAGAGAACTAGGGGGACCAAAGGAAGCCAGGGGGTGTGAATTAAAAGAGTAACTTGAGGCGAAGAGGTGTAAGCAGAAAGCTGGGGAAGGCCAGGGATGGATTACCTTAAGGGACTGGTGGCAAACACCACCATCGTGGGAGTCCACCACCAAGCTGGGGGGCTGGGCCAGCCGAGGTCGCTCACATATGGCACACAGCACAGCTGCAGCCTCATTCTCAAAGGTACAGCTCTGGCAGGCCCACTGGTCACGTGCAGGCTCAGGTTCTAGGGGCCCAGTTCCTTGGGAACTCTCTATCCCCAGCACCTTACAGCCTCTGGCCCGACCACAGGCTGCACAGAGCACCGCCCAAGGCTCGTTTAGTGTGACACAGGCAGGACAGTGCCAGGGCAGACAAGCATTTGCAGGACTGGGGGAAGGAAGAGAGCTATTTCCCAGAGCCAGGGAGGATGAGCAGGGCTGTGGTTGGGATGAGGCAGGTAAACTGTAAAAGAAAAGCAGACATGGCCAGCTGAGGTGGAAGTCAGAACCCGAGTCCCCTTACCCCTGTGAATCTCCCATTGCCTAGGTTATGACATGAGGCTCTGGCCTCTGTGACTGCTGTTCTGTCTGAATACACTCATCCTCATAGATGATTCAATATTTTAAAAAATGTATTGTAGCTAACTTCTTCCAGCAATCTCTCAACATAGCACCTTAATCAGATCATGCTAGATGTTTAAAATACTGATGAGGTGCTCCCTAGCAAGACTGTATCCATATACTACCAATCAGTGCATCACAACACTGTGCGTTATCACGGCTACCACCTGCTCAGTGTTTGTGCCTGTAATGACCTTGAGGGGTGGACCAGCTGTTCACTCTGAAACGGTCTTTAATAGAGAGCCTGGCAGGTAACAGATACTCAAGTAATCTTCAGTTTTTTAAATTTCATTCTCACCAAGAAGAGAAAGCCTCTCACCTAGAGCTTAGGTCGGTGGTCTGATGAGCCCCAGGCAGAGCTTGGCGAACGTGATGGGCGCGGGATGGATGCCCATGGAACAAAATGTCACAAGCTGGGCATGAAGCTTGGTTACAGGATGGACAATGCAGTATGCCCGGAGCAGAACCACAGAGAAAGCAGGGACTAGGAGTGGAGCCTGGAAAAACAACATCGAAAGGATAAAACTCAGCAAACATATACACTACAGGCAAGATACAGGCAAGAGTCGCACTATGTGCCTATCAACAGAAAAGGAGGAGAAATGTTTACACACACACACACACACACACACACACACACACTAGAGTATTAGCCACAAAGAACAAAATCTTACTTGTGAGTAAATGCATGAAATTGGAAGATACCACATTGAGCAAAACAAGTCAGACACAGAAAGAGAAACGTCACCTTTATCCCTCCCTCACCACAGTGTAGCTCTGGCTGGCTTGCAACTCACTTTGTAGCCCAGGCTGGCCTCAAACTCACAGAGATCTGTCTGCCTCTGCCTCCCCAGAGCTGGGATTAAAGACCATGCCTGCCTTCTCTCTCTCTCTTTCTCTTCTCCAACCCCCAGAGTAACTTTCTTTAAAATACTACGTTAATTAGGAGGGGCTGAGGGAAAGGGCTATAGCTGGGATACAAAATGAATAAACTGTAATTAATAAAAATGAATTAATTAAAAAAAAGAAATATTGAAATTAACTGGGCAGACTGTAGAGGAAGGAGAGAATAAAGCAGAGAAGAGAACCAAAACAACAACAACAAAAACAGGTTACACAGTTGGAGAGATGGGTAAATAGTAAGACCAAGCACTTCTCTTGCCTAAAGGCCTAAGTCTGATTCCCTGCACTCGTGCTGAGCACCTCACCGCTGTCTGGAACTCCAGCTGGGGGTGGTGGGGATCACTAAAAGTTTCAGAAAAGATTATGCTACACTAACATTTGTTATGGGCTAGGACAAGTTACAAACTGTTCTTTACAACATCTGAATCTTGGGGGATGGGGGGTAGGGGAAGAGATGTGACTTTAAACTCCTGAAACAAAACACAAGAAGGTAAAAGAAAATCCTAAATTCGCATCAATCTAATACTCTCTCCCATACAGGACCACACAATACCTGGGGCAGAGGGGAGAGGACCAGGAACAATTTCTCTCAAAAGGGGGTGAAACTCTGAAAGCTTCAGCATCTGAGGAAGAAAGCAGAGAATGGACAAGCGTTGGGGGCACAGAACCCCATAAATTCAGTTCCCTTTGTTTAACGGCACCTTTCTGCCTTCCTTACATCATCTTCAGCGTTGTCTCTTAGCAGCTGCTCCAGTGCCTTCTGTCTCGGATGAGTATCCTGCAAACAAAATTAAAAGAACTCCCACTTTGAGCAAAGGTCTCCTTGTAAGCCCGGACCCCCTAACATTCAGAGGGAGAAAGCCTAGCAGAAGCTTCCAGACTGCTGCAGCAGCAGAATTCACCAGCATGGGGTTTTCAAAATGCCTAGGTTGGGCTCCCAGGCTAGTACTTCAAGACCTTAGACTCAGAACACCATCTCACCTGCAACAGCAAGCTGAGCTCCGTGCGAAGCAGGAGGACTTCTAGTGTGACTATGGCAACCTGGTGTTCATCTGGCTCCTCCTGCCCTTCAGGGAAACTCAGTCCATCTGGGCGCTCCTCAGTATAGCCGTACAACCGCAGCACATCCCGGCCCCCCTGGCACACATTCAGGACGGGGTCACCATCTAGCAGGTTTCCTAGGCAATACAACTGGCCCCCCGATGCAGCACACCCTCAGGCCCTTTCTGGTCAACCCCCAGAATAAGTCTAGTCTCCTTCTCGGATAAGGCACAAGGGTTTCACCTGGACAGCATCCACCGTGCTGCGAAAGACAGGGTTATTAAACTTCACTGAGCGCCAGTACCGAGGACGCTGTGGGCTAAGGAGGTTGCGACCGTATTTTTCCAGGATGTTCAGGGCGGTAGATAGCGTGTTGAGGTAGTTTCGAGGCTGGGGGCAGTCAGAAAAACGAGAGTTGCGAGCCTGGCCCACCTGGACTCTGGGCCCAAGTCCCCTTGCCAGGGCGCGCCAGGCGGGCTGGCCTCACCTCGCCACGGGCGTTGCAGCGGACCAGGCGTCCGGCGTCCAGCTGCAGGTAGCGGGCGGCTGGCGGCAGGGAGGCGGCCAGGAGCGGCGTGAGCTGCTCCGGGGGAAACACCTGCGCGGAATCCCGCCGCAGGGCGCTCGCCAGCTCCTCGCGGGCTGCCAGGAAGGCTCGTTCCTCGTCCCCCGGCATCCCGAGACCGCAGCCGGGCTCCGCGACGCCGCCCTCCCGGAGCGGGCGCGCGGCGCAGGTGCGCGCGGCGCCGCAGCAGCCGGGGTCACTCAGGCCACCGCCCCGCTCGGCCCCCGCCGCGGCCAGGGTTGCCGGGAACAGGAAGTGCTGGCGGAGAGGGCGGGACTGTGCACCACTCTGGAGGAATAGGCGGGTTCAGAGTGACTGAAAAGATAGGATCAGGAAGCGGCCGGGTCGCCGCCAATGAGGAAGCCGCCACCCTGGCTCCTCCCCCAGGGCGACGGAACCTTTTCCTCCGAGTTAAGCGCTCTTCTTCGCCCTCCTTGAGGCCATCTCCTCCCCTTCCGGAGGGACCCCCACTCCCCTGCCAGTCTCTGTAGCCCGAAGCTTCCCTTCTGTGTTTCCACAATGTTGCCCAGTTCCAGTCCCCAGCGGGGAAGCCCCACTTTACCAGGGACCCGACTCAGGCGAGTCCCACCCTCCTCCAGGCTGTCCTGAAGGCAAGGCAGTCCCGCTCCCCCTGCTCCCTTCCATCCTGCCAGACTTTCCCTCCTCCTACCCTTCCTACTCTCTCACATCCCACTCAGTCCCCTCCTCAAAGTCTAACCTAAGGGAGCCCCACCCCTGGGTACCCCTTTGGCTATTGTCCCAGTCCAGGACTTCCCCTGGACGGCCCTTGTCGTAAGCTCCGCCCTCTTCGAGAGTAGCAATCTCTGTTCCAGTCTTCTCTGTCCCACGCTTCCCGGGCCCCTCCCCTGGACAACCCCTGGGCTTGATCCAGCCGACACCGCCCTTCCTAGTGGCCACTGGCTGGGAATGGCTGAAGGGCTACAACTTACTGTTGGTGCTCTGCCAGGAGGAGGAGAAAAGAGGGAAGGGGGCGTGGCCGAGGGGGGTGGGTCTGGGCCCGGAGAGTGAAAGCGAAAGCTGGGGCGCCTAGCCCCGAGACTCAGGAGACTGGAGAAGCATGGCCAAGCCTTGTGGGGTTCGCCAGAGTGGAGAAGCCCGTAAACAGGTAAATGGGAGCCGGAGGCCAGGAAGGGGTGAGGAGTCCTAACGGAGATAAAGCCCGGAGCTCCTGGGCACCAAGGCCTTGCGTGAGAACTCCTCCAATCTCCCTTTCTTTGGGGCTTTCACTTCTGCTCAGAGATTACCTCAGGCCCTGTCTTCTAGCCAGTCTGCACTGAGCAGGATATTTCAGGGAAAACTGGTTTTGTGGGACAGGCTCGAGCTACAGTTGGAGGGCACCTAGGTCGGGGATGGGCACTTATTCTTTACAACCGAAACCCCTAATCAACATCTGGCTACTGCTCTGTGCAGGTGGATGTCTTCAGACAAAATCTTTTCCAGGAGGTAAGTCTCTGAATTTAAGCGATTTGATTCAGAACCTTAGCACAGTACTCCAGGGCTACAAACTCTGAGTAACCCTCCGATTCACCCTAATTTTGGTCTCCTAATCTTCATACTTACCAAAGTGAAGGCTAATGATTGGTTTCTACTTGCAATCTGATCACTCTTAGAACCCTAACTGCTTTAGCTACTTCCCCACCCTCTTTGGATGGAAAGGGAAAGATGGCGTCCAAAGGGAGAACCCCACAGTCCTACTTCTGCTGTCAGTCTGATGGGGCAAGTCCCTTTATTTCCAGGACTATGGTTTCCTCATATGTGAGCCTTGGGCCCACTCATTTCCAAGGGCCTGCTTCTCATACGTCTCATCGGACATCTTGTGTGATTATTTTTGTAATGTGACTTTACAGGCTGATGACTTCCTCTGCACGTTCTTGCCACGGAAGATCCTGTCCCTGAGTCAGCTCCTGCAGGTGAGTAATACAGACCCCTCTGCCCCACCTCCTTGCATCTCTCTCACTGCCAGTTCCCTGACATCTGGTGTCGGCATGCAGGGAACTTAGTGAGGCTTGTGTAAAGCTTGAGCCTAGGTTGGGAGGGAGAGAGTAGACAGACTGAGGAGGCAGTGGAGGGAAGGGAGGAGGTTGGGCAGTGTCTGAGAGTAAATTCCGCAGGAGGACTCCCTGAATGTGGCTGACCTCTCCTCCCTCCGGGCTCCTCTGGACATCCCCATCCCAGATCCCCCACCTAAGGACGATGAGGTAAGGCATTCAGTGTGCAGAGCCTGAGCTCTGAGCCAGCTCAGACTCCCCTGGAGCCTCCCTGAGTTTCCTAAAGCTGCTTTTCCCCTTCTGCCTTAGATGGAAACAGACAAGCAGGAGAAGAAAGAAGGTAACTGAGAATTGGGTGACTAGGAGGGAAAGTGCGCTTGCGCGTTGATGTGGGGTAACGGCTCCCGTCTCTTTCATAGTCCCTAAATGTGGCTTTCTCCCTGGGAATGAGAAGCTGCTGGCTCTGCTTGCTGTGGTTAAGCCGGAAGTCTGGACTCTCAAAGAGAAGTGCATTCTGGTAAGCTCGGGCACTGGAGGAGCTGGGGTGAATAGCACGGCAAAGCTAGGGTCAATTCAGAGTTGCAGATGTTTGACCCAGAGACCTAATCTTTAATAAGGAAACTTGCTTTTGTGTCTTGGATTTACTTGTATATGTTTAAATAGTGTGTTTGTGTGTGTGTGTGTGCACGCGCACACACACACATATACATACATAAGCATGTGCAGGTATGTTTTCCATTGCATGTATGTGCAGAGGCCAGAGGTCAACATCAGGAGGTTTTCTTTGGGGAGTCATGGCCTTACTAAACCTGTGGCTTGTTGTCTTGGCTATACTGGCTGGCCAGGGAGCCTCCTAGAATCTGACTGTTATCACCATCCTGCCCCCACTGCAAGCACTGGGGTAATAGTGTACTCCACTATGCCCAGCTTTTATGTGTTCAAGCCCTTATATGTGCATGTGCACACAGCGAGCGTTTTTACCCTCTGTCATCTCCCTTTGGGCTTAGATTGTCTCTGTTCTCGTTTTGTTTGATCTCTGTCTGGTATCACAGTGGTAGCTCCAAAAATGAGAGACTGTGTTACAGCTATCTCTCTCATCTCAGAACCTATCACATAGTAATTTAGAGAGTTGGTTTAGAAGCATCAGTCCAGCTGGGCATGGTGACACGGGCCTGTAATCCCAGCACTCGGGAGCAGAGGCAGGTGGATCTCTGTGAGTTCAAGGCCAGTCTGTTCTACAAAGCCAGTCCAAGACAGCCAAGACACAGAGAAACCCTGTCTCAGGGGGAAAAAAATCCAGTTGAGTCATTGAATGAGTACTCCTTTTAATGTAGGTAATCACATGGATCCAGCACCTCATCCCCAAGATTGAGGATGGAAATGATTTTGGGGTGGCGATTCAGGTAAGAGTTGGTGACTGAAGACCGAGTTGGAAGAGACTTGGGAATGAGGGATGGAAACGAGGCAGTAGCTAGGAGGTAGGAGGAAGAAGGAATAGTGAAGTGGGGAGGTGACGTGTTTTCTTTGCTTCTCGTGTCACTGTAGGAGAAGGTGCTGGAGAGAGTGAATGCTGTCAAGACCAAAGTAGAAGCTTTCCAGACAACGATTTCCAAGTGAGAGCAACTGCATGACTACAGGGACCCTACATGGACATTCTTACAGGATTTTCAAAGCTAGGCAGTTCTGTCAGAATGCTGGGGGACTCGGGTTGAAAGGTCTGTGTGGCTACCCATCTCCATTAACGCACACATTCCTTACTTCTTACAGGTACTTCTCAGAACGTGGGGATGCTGTGGCCAAGGCCTCCAAGGAAACCCACGTAGTGAGTGCACAGTCCAGCAGCCTTTCAGTTAAGGCTGGCCAGGGGTGGGACTGAGGTGGGAAGAAGGGGTCCTTCTCTAGTTTTTGACTTACATATGTGGAAAATACTATTCCAAAAAGCAAAACTGATTAGGCCTCCAACATCCCCATCCCTTTTCCTACTTCTGTGTTTGTTGGTACTAAGACGGGGCTAATCTTCTAGCTAATCTCTTCTCTGGATGAGAAAACCAAATGTTCCAGCCTCCCACAGTGCTGACTCAGTTTGCCTGTATTTCCCAGATGGATTACCGGGCCTTAGTACATGAGCGAGACGAAGCAGCCTACAGGGAGCTCAGGGCCATGGTGCTGGACCTGAGGGCCTTCTACGTGAGTGTGGAATAAGCTCCTGAGGGAAGTAGAGGGAAGGGTTGTGGGAAGCCAAGAACCTAACTTTATTCTTCTGGCCTTCCTCCAGGCTGAGCTTTACCATATCATCAGCAGCAACCTAGAGAAAATTGTCAACCCAAAGGGTGAAGAAAAGCCATCTATGTACTGAGCTAAGGATTAAAGGGAAAATAAATGACTTATACTTGATGTACATTACCTCTGTTCATTCACAGAGACTATTGAGGGCCTCCAGTGCCTATGCGCCAAAGGAAGGTGACTATGGTAATAAAAACGGGAGAGGGTTGGCTGGAGGGATGGCTCAGTGTTTATGAACACTAGCTCTTCTTCCAGCTTGACCCAGTACCCACAAGGTGGCTAATAACTGTCTGTAATTCCAGTTACAAGGGATCTGATACCCTCTGACCTCTGCAAGCACCAGATATGCACACATGGTACACAGACATAAATGCAAGCAAAATACCCATACACATAAAAGAAGAACAATTTTTTTACAAATCTGCGAGGGTGCCGGGAAGGGTGAGCTTGAGGTTCGTTGTGTTTTTAACAGATTCAAGAACGGGGTTACACCTTTGATCCCAGTACTCAGTAGGCAGGGGTAGGTGGATTTGAGTTCAGGGCCATCCTGATTTACACAGCAAGTTTGAGGCCATCCAGGGTTCTTTAAAACACACACACACACACACACAAGTTTGCATGCCTTGTCAGCCATGTTAGAATATCACAAAGGTATTTCCATCTGATGATATGAGGGCCTCCTGGTAAAGGCTACTTGGGCAAAGCCCTTGGAGGAGGAATCAGCCTTTGCATAGATGGGAAGCTTTGTGACCATGGTATGGGAATAAAGGAGAAACAGTTGTGGAGCTGAGAGCAAGCTTGGGGGACGGGGGGAAGAGAGGAAAAGTCTTTAAAAAGGCATCAAACTGGAACACATCACCCTGGGTGGACATTACTGAGATGAGGATTTGCCTTTTTAATCTCTTGCCCACTTTCCGAATCCATTTCTGTCTACATTTGTTGGGATTTGGATGTCTTTGGTTTTGTTTTTTTAATCTGTGTGTATGAGTGTGAACATATGCCTGTGTGCCTGAAAAGGCCTGAATGAGGTGCTGGATCTCCTGAGGCTGGGTTCACAGGTGGTTGGTTGTGAGCCACTTGATACGGGTGCTTTTAACAGAAACTGGATCTTGACTGCTGAGTCCTCTCTCCAGCCTTGTATTGAGCCTGTGTTCACAGGGTCTTTCATAGCCTAGGCTGGCCTTAAACTCACTGTGAAGCTGAGGCTAACTTTGAACTCTTGATCCTCCTGCCTCCCAACTTCTCAGTAGTGGGATTGCAGTTTAGGATTTATTTATGAGCAGGTGGTGGATGGAGACAATGGTTCCTCTGCCTTGTGGCAGGTTATAGACTCCAAGGGACTTTTTTATGGCGTGAGAATGTGCTGCATTCTTATCAGTTTGACGGTTTGGAATTCCGTGCTCATTATTTAATCCTTGAAGGGTCATGGACCTGTACTTTGCATTAAAGGTGCTGCACTACATTAAGGAAGCCAAAGGTCAAGAGTTTGCAGTTGGGAAGATTAGGCTGCGCATTCAATAGCAGGAGCAAGGCCAACAGCTTGGTCGCCAAATTTCTCCAGAACGCCCAGCTAGGAACCAGCCCTTCACCTACCACTCTTTGCCCGAATTCCGTATTGGCAGGAAGAGCAGATAAACAGGTGAAGCCAACCTGCACTAACCCGCACAAGTCGGAACTAGGTGGCACAGAGCCTGTAAATAGGGCTCTGACTTCAGAGATTGGGCATCTGTGAGTTTGAGGCCAGCCTGAGCTGGGACTTTGTATATCCTCCCTCGCTCAACAAAGCAAAATCCAAAGCATAAACCTGCTAATTTCGCTATCAAGCCTGTGGTTAATTTTCTTTCCTTTGCCCTAATGCCTTCTTTCCAGTTCGCTTTAGGCCAAGGCAAGGCAATTTTTAAATTTTTTTGATTGGACGAAATGAGGACGTCTTGCCCTACCAGAGAGCACCGAGGAGGCGGGACTCTTGGCTAGGGTTTGCTCCGGAGCTGGCCCGCAAGCTAGTGCGCCTGCCCGGCAGTGGTTAGAGGAGGCGGGGCTCAGCGCCGGGTTGCGTTGGCTCCGAATTCTGGACTGTGTTGGGGGGGCAGACTGTAGAGAGAGGTGCCCCGGGGTTAGGGGCGTCTTACACCCAAGCGTGAGGAGGAGGCACAGGGCAAGGCCAAGCTCGCACCGGTCGGGGTTCGGTCGGCGTGCCGGCAGGTCCTGCGCGATATGGGGGAGGTGGAAATCTCCGCCCGGGCCTACGGGAAGATGTGCCTGCACGCCTCTCGGTACCCACACGCCGCGGTCAACGGGCTGCTGCTGGCTCCCGCGACGCGGTCCGGAGAATGCCTCTGCCTCACCGACTGTGTGCCGCTCTTCCACAGCCACCTGGCCCTGTCCGTCATGCTGGAGGTCGCGCTCAACCAGGTACGGCCTGGAGAGCCCCGCCCCCGTCCCTCCCCGACCCTGGTAACGAACCCCTTTAGGGGCTGTCAGCCTGAATGCGTGCTCAGCCCCTTGGCCGCGGTACACACCCGCAGGGCCAGAGGCATGATTTAGTTACAGAGGGCTCCTTTCTCACAACAGGTGGACGTGTGGGGCGCACAGGCCGGTTTGGTGGTAGCTGGGTACTACCATGCCAATGCGGCTTTGGACGACCAGAGGTAAGTTGGGTAGCTAGGGAAGGGAGATGAGTGTGACTGGTGTGGGTGAGGTGCAGATGGACCAGCGTGGAAAAAATATATCTATATTTTTTATTTTTTTACCAAGTGCTTAGCAGTAGGGCTGTATAGCAGGTATTATACTAGGTACTGGGATATCAGAGGTGCGGTGGGGGTGGGGCGGACAGCCGACTTTCGACGAGAAACAGTGATCTCCACTGAGGGGTATCTCAGGTGCTGTAGGAACTGAGGACCGTGCAACCATCAGCTTAAAAAGCCCACCACTTTATAAGCGTATACTGTACACACCAAATGGCTTAGATCTGTGGTAATTTGCTTCTCTCTGAACTTAATACACTTGATGTCTTTTCCACCTCAAGATCTACCCCATCCTAACAGCCGTACAATGTGAATATGGACATTCCGTAATTTACTTCTGCAAATGCCGACTTCATCTCCAGTTTTTAAATTTCAGAGAAAGCCCTATTTTATAGTAAGTTCTTTAAAAAAAATGTAATATACTTGCTTTTGTTTTTGAGACAGGGTTTCTTTGTGTAGCTCTGGCTGTCCTGGAACTCGGGCCGAAGACCAGGCTGGCCTAGAACTCAGAGATCATCCGCCTCTGCCTCCAGAGTGCTGGGACTAAAGGTGTGCGCCACCACACCCAGCTAAAAAAAAAAAAAAAAAATTGTTTTTAATAGCAGAAAGAAGGAAAAGATATATTTAATATGGCCATACTGGAAAGAGGGACAAAGAGCTCCAGCGAGGCACGGCTGCTCTTCCCATGTCTGTCTTCTGGGTCAAGGGGAGAGATTAAAGTTTACATAGAGGGACAGTCAGTCAGGATCAAGGTGTGGTCCTGCCCCCCTTTGGCCCATCTTCTGCACTTCAGATTTGTCCTGCGAGGTCACCTGACAAGTTGCTAGGCCTGTGGGAAACCTCTTGGAGCTGTACACAGGAAATAAAAAGAAGTGGGAGGGTCTCTGCAGGCCCACCACCATAGCAGTGTCATGTGGGTCTGTTTTGATCACAGTGGCCAAATGACATGGGGAATCGGGCTCCCCTTCTGTGGATGTTTTAGTCTTATTAATAAAAGAACTTTAAAAACTCAAGGAAGGGGGCTGGAGCGATCAACAGTTAGCACTGGCTGCGCCTCCAGAGGACCTGGGTTCAACTTGAAGTACTCACACGGCAGCTCACAAATGTCTGTAACTCCTATTCCAGGGATCCAGGACCCTCATACGTATATACATGAATGCAAAATACCAAGGTACATAAAGTAAATAATGTAAGTAAGTTAAACAATAAAAAACCCCGAATGACAATTTTAGTTGACTTAAAAGGACCAGACCCAGAGCAGGCAAGCTGTGCTTTCCAGAAGAAAAAGGAGAGAAGAAAAAAAGTCATACCTTTTAAACCAGCATGGAGGTCAGGCTCTTTGCAGAAAAGCAGCGGAATATTGAACTTTAGACAGAGTAAAAGAGCACAAAGTAGGCTGGAGAGATGGCTCAGAGTTTAAAAACACTGGTTAGGTAGGTCCTGAGTTCAATTCCTAGCAACCACATGGTGGCTCATAGCCATCTATAGTGAGATCTGGTGCGCTCTTCTGGTGCTGTACATGAAGTACACATGGCACACATGAAGAATGATGTATAAATCAATCTTTAAAAAAAGAAAAAGAAAAAAAAGCACCAAGTATAAGAAAAAAGCATGTGTAGGTTCTGGCCAGCTCTGAAAGAAACAGGCCCCAGAAAGTTGGGCAGACCCAGCCAAAATCTCATGGTGGCTCCTAGAGATACATTAAGTTAGCATATGAAGTGTACTGTGGCATTTTCATACATATTTTTCTGTTGTTGTTGTTTGTTTTCTTTTCTTTCTTTCTTTTTTTTTTTTTTTTTTTTTTTTTTTTTTTTTTTTTTTTTTTTTTTTGAGACAAGGTTTCTCTGTATAGCTTTGTCTTTGGAACTTACTCTGTAGACCAGGCTGACCTTGAAATCAGAGATCTGCCTGCCTCTGCCTCCTGAGTTGTGGGATCAAATGCATTTGACACTATCACCCAGCTACATTCTTTATTCCTAATTGTCCCTCCCCTAATAACTTAACCTGTTCCTCTGCCCCACTTTTGCTGGTTCCTGCCTTCCCACCCAGTAAATTCTTTATAGTTTCGATTAAAAAAAAAAAAACTTTATTATTTTTGTGTTTTGCCTGTATTGTTTATCTGTCTACCACATTCATGCAATGCCCCTGGAGGCCAGATCCTCTGGGACTGGTTGTCAGCAGCTGTGTGGGTGCTGATTTGAACCCAGGTCCTCTGAAAGAGTAGTTAGTACTCTTCCACAGGGCCATTGCCCCAGCCCTATTTGTTTTAATTTGGATATTCAGGTAAATTACGTTCCCCAAAGCCTGCTTCAGATTTCATCTCTTGTCAGTAATATCTGAGCACCTGTTTTCCACAGCTTCGAAGCGTCAAGCAGTCCTGCACCAAGCATCAGACAGGCCCGACACTCCCAGGCCAGCTGCAGGGAAAGGCTGCAGCTTTGCACACATCGACAAGACCCGGGAGACCTGGGTCTGCCCTCAGTTGGCTCCTCACTCCTCTGATCTTCCCTCTACACAGCCCGGGGCTTCTGGCCTTGAAAATCGCTAGTCGAATTGCAGAATTCTTCCCTGGTGCAGTGCTTATTATGGTGAGACTGGGGCTTTACAGTGGGGAGGTGGAGAGCAGGTGGGGACAGCATCCTGAAGACTCTTCACCCCTTTTTGCATCCAGCTGGATAATAAGAAGTTGGTGGCTCGGCCCCGTGTACCTCCTGTCATCGTCCTGGAGAACCAAGGTCTTCGATGGGTGCCCAAGGACAAGAATTTGTGAGTGCCCCACTACTCTGTCTCTTCTTGGAGGCCCAAGACTCCCAGGCTGCCTTTGCTCTGCCCCATGGCTTCTCTAGGACAAAATCTTGTTTCCTTTTGTTTTTTGAAATACGGTTTTCCTGTATAGACCAGGCTGGCCTCAGACTCACAGAGATTTGTCCGCCTCTGCCTTCTGAGTGCTGAGATTAAAGGCATGTGCCACCACTGCCAAGCTCTAGACACAATCTTTTAAGTCTGTGTCTGGCCCCACTGTTTGACCTCCATGTTTGAAATTTCAGAGTGATGTGGAGAGACTGGGAGGAGTCCCGACAGATGGTGGGAGCACTGTTGGAGAGCCGGGCCCACCAGCACCTTGTGGACTTTGACTGTCACCTTGATGACATTCGGCAGGACTGGACCAACCAGCAGCTTAACTCTCAGATCACTCAGTGGGGTGGTCCCACCAATGGAAACGCCTGAGCCAGGAGGATCCTAATACAATAAAGACACGGGCTGGTGGGCAACTCTCTTATTTATTGTGTTTTGGGGCAGAGTGAGGGAGAAGCCCCCAGGAAGAAGATTGGGTACAGTCTAGAGTTCCCGGAGAAGGAAGAGCAGGAAGGTGTCCGCTGTGCCCATCATAGAACGAGAGGCGGGGCTCAGTAGATCATCCCCTTTGTTTCTCCACGGGGCTTCTTGAGCTTCTCGAAGTTCTTCAGGATGATGTCATACAACACAGCCTATAGGACCAGAGTAGTGGGGGTGAGCCACGAGCCCCCAGTAGTTCTGTACCCCATTTCTAGCTTTGGAAAGGCTGGTGCTTGTCACCGTCCACCCCAAGTCTGCGTGGTCAGAAACTAGAAGGCCCGGGAAAGGCGCTCCTGCCCACCGCCGCCCTCCTCTCCCTTCCTCACATAAGCATTGCGGATCTCCATGATCATCAGGCGGATGTCCTGGTACTCTGCCTCATCCAGCTCATGCACCAGCTGCCGATAATCACCCTGCAGAAACTCCGAGTTAGCCCCAACCCGAAATGTGCCTTCCCCGGCGCAGCCTAAACTGGGCCTCACCTACCACGTGGGGCTGCTTGGCTGCTTTGGCTACGGCGTCACCCCTCTCTGAGAAGTACCTGTGGGAAGTGGAGGACGGTGTGGAAGGAGAGAGTTAAGGAGGGGGCCAAGGCCTGTCCCCAAAGGTAGTGTGTGCTGGGGCTGCAGTGCCCAGGCAACTAACTCACTTAGAGATTTGTGTGTGGAAGCCGTCCAGCTTGGTATGAAGGCTGGTCATCAGCTCAAACACCTTTTCCTGAGAAAGAGAATGCGGAGTCAGATGGAAGCATGGGCTGACTACAGCTACAGGGGGTGAGGCAGGGCTCTTACCTGGACAGCCACTCCAAAATTATTCCCATCCTCTATCCGAGGTATCTGTAGCTGCAACCAAGTAGTGACCTGGGAGTAAAGGGATGGCATCGAGACTTTATCACCACATCCTCTCCCCTCCATATACATACCCTAATTCCCAGGATCCCGTTCTTCCCTTGCCTGCCCACAGTGGATGGAGGAATGCCAGGTCCACGCTGAGACCCAGGCTGGCTCGCCTGCTACGCCCTCTCCTAAGTGCCATGTAATAATTGGCAGGGGGTGAGCTCACCATATTGAGCTGTTCAATGACATCCTTGATCTCAGGCTTGAGGCGTTGCAGCAGGACCACAATCTTCTCATTGCAGTTCACTGGGCCACAGGGAGGACCTAGAGAGTGCGCAGTGGGTCGGTCAGCCACTGAGCTTGTGAGGGTTGGAACGGGGAAGAGTGGAAGACAACTTGGAAGCTCTGAGACACAGGCCTCCGCCCACCGCATCCCTTTCAAGTACCTTTGTCTTCATCTTCCCCTTTCTTCTTCTCATCCTTCTCTTCCTTCTGTAGGGAGGAAGGCGGGCCTGAGGCTGAGGTTCTTTATGGCTGGCCCACCTCCCAGCTCTCCCCGCTTGCCTCCTGTTGTTTCTTCCGCTCCTCCTTCTCCTTCTCCTTGACTGGATCAGGTACTGGGATGTCCAGTGGAGCCTTCAAATTGCTCAGGTTGGCTTCATTGAGGGCTGGCTCCTAGTGGTACAGCTGGAGATGAGGGTGTCCCGCTCATCTCACCACACTCCCATCCCCAGGCTCCTCCTGAGTCCTTGCTGGGCCCCAGTACCTTTAAGAATGCATCCAGCTCTGAGATCTTCTTAGGGAAATAGCTCCCAAGCAGGTTCTCGGTCTGTGTAAGGTGGTGGAGGAGAATGGGGTCAGAATCAAACGCCTCTTCCTAGGCAGTGAAGCAAGGGAGGGCAGAGTGGCTGCAGCGGGGTGGAGGTGGGTTGCCGAGGTAGCTCTTACCTTGCTACACAGGTCTTCACGAAACACATCCACCTGTGGGGTACAGGCAAACCTTCAGAAACCTAGCTTTAGGGCCAGTTCCCTTTGGGTCATGTAGGGCCTGACCTGGGGAACAGAGGAGCAGATCCCTCTAAGGCCACCCATGAAGAAAGCAAGATGAGTCCCCGTAGAGGGTGGCCTGAGGTGTTGATTTTCAGCACACCTGAATATGGGGAGAGTTCAGTGGATGCTGGGGGCTGGATTTGGGGAGGTGAACATTACTGGGGCCACCAGGGTTGTACAAGGAGAGGGAAGAAAGGCCCGTGGCCGGGTGTGGAACCGCAAGCCTTTAATCCCAGGTAAGAGCGGGTAGATCTCTGGGAGTTCGAGGCCAGCCCGATCTACATAGTGAATTCCAAGACAGCTAAAGCTTCGTAATGGAGAGACTCTGTCTCAAACAAAGCAAAACCCTCGGCCAATGGGCAGAGGCAGAGTGCAGGAGTGTGCCCTTTCTGTGTGAAAGATCCCGAGGTAGCCTGGGCAAGTCCCTCTCCCGGTCTGTGTGTAGCCCTGACTGGCCTTAGACCAGCAGACTTCACGCTAGCTTTCGGCTTCATTTCACCCCGCTGGACCACAGCCGCCTCACTTCCTCCCAGGGGATCAGTTGCTCCTGGCAGTAATCTGGGGCGCAGACCCCCCACGACTCAGGTGCGGGGCTGGGGACCGATGCCCACAGCTCCGGTCCGCTCGGAGCCACGCCTCTCTGACACTCGTCCTCCCCACTCGATCCCACAACGCTCACCTTGGCTTGGGCTTCAGGGTGGACCCTCAGGGTGGCCATGGCCAGAGCCGGGGACTGAGCGCCGCACGAGGAGCCTGGAGGGGGCAGCGGGAAGGGAAAGCGAAAGCAGAGCTCGCAACCCGCCCCGCCTTCCTGGGTTAGGGGAGAGGAGGGCCTGGTGGAGGCGGGGACAGCCTGCTGAGAGGCGGGGGCTCCCCCGGCAGCCCCGGCAGCGTTTCCGCCCCGGGAGCGGGGCTCTCCTCCCGACGGCCGAGCCTGCCTCCGAACGCCCGCCCGCCGGTGCCTGCACCCTGGTCCTTCCCACCTCCATCCCGCCCTCCGTTTCCCGGCGCCCCCTGCTCTCCCTGCTTTGGCCAGGGCAATAATACGCCTTACTTGGGGGGTTAAATCCTTTCTCATCTGCAGCAAGACCTGGTTTCTCTTCGTCTTGCCGTCGCGGTCCCCTGACTTCACCAACATACTCCCGCCCTATAAACCATCCCCCTCCCTCCTCCAGCAGGGACTTCAGGCCTCTGTGATAAAATCCAGAGACTTTCACAATCACCAGAGCCTTTCAAATCTATTGCTTTCCACACTCATTCATTACACAAGCAAATACTTGCATGCAGGTGTTTATTCCGGCTCCGAGGACTCTGCCCTTGAGACACCCTCAATGCCCTCACTCCGTTCTTAGCTTTGATGTCAGTTTTTCAGAGAGAATTTCCCGTCGTCATTCTTCAGAAAGTACCTTCCCCGCCCAGTTTAGTGCCTGTTGCAGTACTACCACAGCACCTGTGATTCTGATATTAGCCATTTTGTTGTTGTTTTGTTTTTGAGACAAGATAATAGAGTGCTTTCAACAGTGGCCAGGCGAACTTTTTGTAGGGCGTTAGTGACAGCTGTTTAGTTTTGGGAACGGTGCAGCAACTCAGCTCTGCTTCTCTGAGAAGAAAGGAGTCCACAAAATGAATTAGTGTGGGCGAGTTTCAGTAGAAGTTAACTTATGGACCAGAGATCTTGCGTTTTATGTAATTTTCACATGTCAAGAAATGCTTTTTCAACTTTGCTTTTTTGTTGGTTTTTTTTTCTTTTTTTAATAGGAATCTTAAAAAAAAAAAAGATTTATTTAATGTGTATGAATGCTGTTTTTGTGCACACCAGAAGAGGGAATCAGATCCCATTACAGATGGTTGTGAGCCAACCAGGTGGTTGTTTGGACTTGAACGCAGGACCCCTGAAAGGGCAGCCAGTGCTCTTAACTGCTCAGCCATCTCTCCAGCACATTGTTTGTGTTTTTCGAGACAGGGTTTTTCTGTATAGCCCTGGCTGTGCTGGAACTGTCCCTAACACCAGGTTAGCCTCAAACTCACAGAAATCTGCCTGCCTCCTGAGTGCTGGGACAAAATACCTGCACCACCATCCCTGGTTTTTGTTCAACATTACCAAGAAAAAAAAAATGTGGGAGATGGAGTGGTGGCTCAGTGGTTAAAAGAGTGGAAAAGAGCTCTGGCTGCTTTTCCAGAGGACCTCAGTTCAATTCTCAGCCCCCACCCTCAAGACAGCTAACAACTGCCTCTAAGTCCAGTTCCAGGGGATCCAATGCCCTCTTCTGGCCTTTACCAGTATTATATGTACATGGTGTACAGACACATGTAGCCAAAACACCATACACATAAAAAATAAAATAAAAATTTCACAACCGAGTAATATGAACACTGCTGAACTTATCTCATTGGTCTGTTGTGTGGGGATTAAATTTGTCTATGTGTGTATGTTTGTGAGAGAACCATGCACATACATGAGTCCAAGGAAACCAGAAGTGAGTAATGTCTTCCTCACTCTCTCCCCCAACTTATTCCTTAGGAAAAAAAAAAAAAAGTTCTTGTACTAAACCCATAGCTCAGCCATAGGCTAAACCACTTCAGGCAGCCATGCCCAGCGCATTAAACACTGGTCTTTATGTTTGCACAGCACATACTTTACCACCGAACCATCCCCCTGGCCTCCAAATGTATTAATTTGTATAAATAACACGCACACACTTAGGACACTGGCAGAAAGGAGCAAGCACTAGGCTTGCACATTTGCTATTTGTGTGTTTCTCTCTTGCTTCCTCAGGAACTCATCTGCAGCAGAAGCCTTGCTTGTCTTGTTCTCACACCTTGGCTAACAAACCTTTGCCAAGTGAATGTGCACATCATTCTTGTGAGATAGAGGTAGAAACAGTCCTGGCACAGGTTGCCCAGATAAGGAAAGCAGGAGATTCTGTGAAGAAGGCCGGAAGAACTAAGTAACTAGGTTGGAGATAAGGCATCTACTGAGAGAGGCTGACGCACATGCCTAAGAATGATTACCTGCTTTAGTAGTACCATCCCTTGACAGCACAGCTCTA